GGGAGGCAGGAGAACAGCTTAGGTATTTTGGATAGGGGAATGTGCCCTCAGCTCCAAGAACCATACACATAAAAGGGAAGTGTGAAGAACTAAATCTCAAGACCAAACTTTTATTCTACGAAAGCCTGTGTGAAGACATGGCAGTCTCCAGAGCCAGAAGAAACTTTTGTAAGCACCCTCCAGGCTCCACAGAAGATGGAACAGCCATCACCCCTCCCTTGGACAAGGTTGGGTTTGCTTCTGGTGGAATCTCTGGTTCTTCTGAAGATTTAGCTAGTATCCTTGTGTTCAGTTGCTGTCTGTTTTAGCTAGATGGGTTCTGCCTGTCATGCAGCTGTTCAGTCCCAGAGAAACAAAGAGAGTCTTATATTAATTATAAACTGTTTAGCCTATTAGCTCGGGCTTATTATTAATTAGCTCTTACAACTTAAATTAACCCATAATCGTTGTCTGTTTAGCCATGTGGCTTGGTACCTTTTCTCAGTAAGGCATTCTCTGCATCTGGCTGGTGACTGACTCTCTGCCTTTCCTCTTCCCAGAATTCTCCTCGTCTGGCTGAGCCGCCCTAGCTGGCTACTGTACAATCAGCATTTTATTAAACCAATATGAGGGACGAATCTTTACAGTGTACAAGAGCGTTATCCCACAGTAATTTGCCGCTCATCACCCTGGTCCTGCTGCGCGATGACATATGTCTACCTCTGATGGCAGAGGAGGCATGGTGCGGTTATTTACAGAGCAAGTGTCTAGGCCTCAGACAGACCTGGGATCTAAATCCTTTGTTGATTAGCATCTGCTCATGCCAGAGGCTTCAGTCCTCTGGGTTTCTGTTTCCTCATGTCCTCAGCGAGCTCTGGTTTTACCCAGAAGCCCCTGGGGCTATGGGGGCTAGGCACAGATGTGGAGAAGAGTCAAAGTGGGGTCTGCTCAGCTGCTCCTGGAGACACGTGAAAGGATGGGGCCCATGCTCCCCACTCCCTTAGGTTCCAAACATCATATGTGGACAGCTATAGGTTTCTCCCACCTCCAGACAAGGCCGTCGGGCTGCTGTTGTTGCCTTTTACCTCAGAGTCTCTCCACACTTTATGTATTCCAGGTGTATACAGCTCAGTTTAGCTCAGTGGGTAGAGTGCTCGTCTAGCATGCCAGACCCCGGGCTGGATCTCCAGGGCTACATATAACCCAGCATGTGGGCACATGCCTACCATCTCAGCATGGGGGAGATCAAGAATCCAAGGTCTTATTCTGCTACACAGGGCGTGTGTGTGCAAACACGAATTTGATAGGAGGTGACTATTGGCTGGTTTTGTGCCAACTTGACACAAGCTAGAGTCATCAGAGCAGAAGGCACCTCAGTTGAGTGTAGTGATTGATATTCCATTTGTATTTTAATAAATAAAGCCTGCTTGAAGATCAGAGAGCAAAACAGCCACACTGGTCAGCCTTACAGACTGGGCAGTGGTGGTTCTAGTTTGCCATAGAAGCCAGGTGATAGTGGTGCACGCACGCCTTTAATCCCAGCACTAGAGAGGAGTAAAATGGGAGGAGAAAGCTCTCAGTCCAGTCTCACTCTGAGGATAGATGTAAGAGCCAGGGGCTGTCTTCTTTGCCTTTCTGACCTCCAGGGTGAACCCCAGTATTTGTCTCTGTATTTTTGTTATTCGTGCTACAGTTGAGCAAATGCCTCCATGAGATCCACCTGTAAGGCATTTTCTCAACTAGTGATCATTGTGGGGAGGGCCAAGCCCATGGTGGGTGGGGCCATCCCTGGGCTGGTGGTGCCAGGTTTTTTTTAAGAAAGCAGGCTGAGCAAGTCATGGGGAGCAAGGCAATAAGCAGCTCCCCTCCACGGCCTCTGCATCTGCCTCTGCCTCCAGATTCTAGCTCTGCTTGAGTTCCTGTTCTGACGTCTATCAACAGTGGACTATAATCTGAAATCAAATAAACCCTTTCCTCCCCAGTTTGCTCTTTGGTCATGGTCTTTAGTCACAGCAACAGAAACCCTAGACAATGACTCAGTGGGTAAAGGGCAGAGTCCACGTGATGCTGGACACAGCACACAAGCCTGAAATCCAGCAACTCCAAGGGAAGATGGGAGATAGCGACAGATGGACACTCGGATGCTTTGAGGCCACTTAGCCTGGCCTACAAGGTAGAAAAACAAGAAATCTTGCTCTCACCCCCCAAAATGTGAGGCCTGACACTGCAGGCCATCCTCTGACCTCTACATGTCCATGTTAGCAGTCACACGTGAATGTACACGCACACATGTGAGTGCTCACACACGAATGTATACGCACACCATATATTTTAAAAGCTATATTCATTTTGAGAAAAGGCCTATGATGTACGCTGGTTTCAAACTTCTGGGCTCAATCAGTCCTCCTGCCTCAGCTCTCAGGTGTCCCACTGCCTGGCAGTGGAGACCAAGGCACAGTGCAGGAGAGGGCGCTGCTGCCACTACATTCCTGGAACTCTCCTCAGTCCGGCCACTCACTAGGGTTCTCTTTACACATCACCTGGAAGTAGGGCTTGGCCATGGAACCTTAGATAACGACACAAATGCAAGTCATCTCTGAACGGCGGCATGCTGTCCCCACTCTAGCTCGTCAACATGGTTGTGCCACAGGCCCAAGTCATCTGTCATTCCCTCCCAGAGACCTCACAGGGTCACAGGTGTTGTGGTCCTGAAGTGTGGGTGGCTTGTCACCACAGAGGAACCCAGCCTCACCTGAGTTACTTACCAGACACAGCTAAGAAGCCGTGTCATAGCAAGAGAAGGCTGGAGAAAACTGCTAAGCCAGAGGGCATGTCTTGTTCATGGCCTTCAAACCACGCATGCATAGACAAAATACAGCCTTCCCAACTGGGCTTCAGGCCAAGAGGAAAGACAGCAACCTGGGCCTAAACCCTGGGGGAACAGAAATGTTCTAGGCACTCTGACTGCTGTCTGATACCCACAGCTTACAGCCTAGAGCCCTGTGTGGAAGTGGCACCCTGAGGGACAAAGGGTAGAGGTGAGAGAAAGGAACATAACAGGATCCTCCCAAGAAGCCCACTCATGGCTGGGCAGTGGTGGTGCATGCCTTTAATCCCAGCACTTGGGAGGCAGAGGCAGGCAGATCTCTGTGAGTTCAAGGCCAGTCTGGTCTACAGAGTGAGTAGACCAGGACAGCCAGGACTACACAGAGAAACCCTGTCTTGAAAACAAAACAGCAAAAGCAGCAGCCCCCCACGTCACGGCTTGTTTCGAGTCTTAGGGTTTCCGAGACAGGGCAGACGGGCTTTGAACTCCTAGCCCTCTTGTTTCTGCCCCCCAAGAGTGTGTGTCACAGGCACACTCTACTGCATCTAGATTGTGTCTTGAAGCAGGAGACACTCACCTGCAGCCTCCCTACCAGGCCTCCACGTCTGTCTGAGGCACTCTGCGCCCAAGGGCAGGGTGACAGATCACAGCTGTGGAGACCTACGTCTCCAGGGTCCAGGATTCCACCAAGTAGAGCGTGAGTGACAGGGAATACCTGTGAGATCCCCAGCTTTCAATGTGCCAGAGGGCTGAGCTGGTGAATGAGATGGGCAGGCCCTGCTGACTCCAGGACTGTGGCCCTGGAGTCTCATGGGTGCTGCCTTGGGGTCACCACATCAGATACCAGAACTTCAGGTCTTTGGGGCCTTTCTGTATGTGACCCAAGTCCCAGATGCAATGGGGACCCATTTCATCCAAGCCTTGAGTGGTAATGGTGGGCCTCTGTGAGTGCCCTAAATACCCACGGGACTGTGTGCTGAGATATTGGGACACCTGCAATGCCCACTCAGGCAGCAACACATAAAGAAGAGGCTGGGCCAAAGGCCAGTAGCGGTACTGAGTTTATTCCCCATCGATCCCCCTTGAATGCCTACTGTCCCCACCCTGGGACCATGAGGTGTCATATACAACCAGACTTCAAAGCTCTACACACCTATCTAGCCTTCTTGCCACCACCTAGACCTGTGAGGGGACATGGAGGTGGTCATCCCTGGGTTCAGACCACACCAGGTCTCCATGGAGATGCCCTATCAACTGCTCCAAGACCAGTGTCTTGTATCACTTTAGAGAAGCAGGCCCAGGACTAGACCTACCAAGTCCAGCTGGGCAAGAGACCCAGCAAATCTTCCCAGAAGTGATGGTCCCAAGGTCGTCTCTTGGGTGGGCCTTGGAAGTTCCCACCCTGCTCCGGTTCCTTCATGCCAACGTTCAGTGACTTGGCCATCTTTTTAAAAGTGTAGAAGCTGGCTAGACATGAACCCCAATTCTACGGCATCAAGAAGCACAGGGAACCCCACATGGGTAGGGTGATGTGTGTAGCACCAGGCACACAGCAGCCTCGGGGACAGAGGGCTGTGCCCACCTTCTGCACGGCAACCATCACTCAGTACCCAGGACCTGTCTGGCCCCTGGGGAAGGGGGAAGGGTGTGGGAAACTCAACTCCTGGGACAGGGCTTTATTCCCAATCCCTACCCTTCAGATTGCTGCTTCCTGAAGAATGGACAGACAGACCTGGGTCCTAGCCCCATGAAGGCCACAAGGCCAGCAACTGACAAGAAGGGTGGGGACCCCTTGAGGTGGTCAGCTTTTTTTCTTCTTTGAAAATGTGAGCCAGCTCTGCAGAGCTACCAGGCACTGGGGCCAAAGGTTAGAAATAGTGAGGGGCAGGGAAAGGGTCCCTGAGGACATCATGGAAGCCCAGAGATCAAAGGAAAGAACAGCTAAACTAAAGGAGCTGGAAGCCCCGACTGTGGGCAGTGGGGCCGGAGACTTCATCCGGACGGGAAACCTTCCTTTCTCAGACGAGGTCCCTATCTGTCTGCCCCAAGGACACAGAGGGACCTGAGGGCTACGCTTGCAGCCCGACTCTGCAGGCTGGGGAACGGTGCCTACACGGGGGAACCTGACCACTCAGACCTTCCTAGCCCAGAGGAGAGCAGAATCAGCAGCGTGCCTTGGGCCTGCCCACACCTGTACAGAATAAAGTGCTTCGTTTATTGATGATTAAAATGTCCCCAGCCCTCTGTCCCAACGCCATGGGCCTCTGAGGTCGGAGGGGTGTGGCACCCTCCACCGGTGACTGGCGGGCACAGGCCTCTTCCCAGTGTGCCCATGCTGGGAAGGGAAGGCGGTGATGGGGAGGAATAAGGTGCAGAGTGTAAGGAACAGAAGCTTATGAACAGAGGGAGATTGGGACGAGGAACCGCAGCTTATGGAAACTCTCTCCCATCCAAACACAGGAATAAGGTCACCTATTAGTGCCTGCCTCACAAGGGCAAGCACTGGGCACTGGCTGAGCTCCCTGCTCCCACTGGCTTCTCTCCCTGGCTGAACTGCGGCACACCAGACAGTGCGGAGTGCAGGAGGGACCAGGAGCCAGCCAGAGGCCCCAGGAGAAGAGAGGCCTCATGTGGGCCTCTGGGGAGCAGACACAGATGCACGTGTCTCCTGGTGGGAGAGTCCAGCCAGGCAGGCTGGTAAGGGACAGGGGTGCCCTGTGGACAGCTAGCTCCCTGTCCCTTGACCCACAGATAGCACCGTGAAACCCTGAACTGCTTGCCTGAGGCTCCTGGGGGGCCCACCCCTGTCATCTCATTCTCCTGCAGGACCCCTGGAAGCTGGGGCTGGGGATTTAGCTTCTCCACCCCCTGAAGGCTTGGTCCCCAGCACCTGGAGAGGTTCCTTCCAGGATTTGGGGCTCTTTAAAAGTCCAGCCCAGGCTGAGGATCCCTGAACCTGCCTGACAGGGATGTGACTAGGAAAAGAAACCCATGGGGGCCAGCCCCCACCTGCTCCACTCTGTACCACGCAGAGGGGTCTGCAGCCTTTATCTCCTGCCTCTGCCCTACCCTGCCAGGCCTCCCTGGCTACAGGCCTTCCTTCAACAGGGGTGCACCCAAATTCTCCCCAAAACCTCCCATCCTAGGGAGTAAGTTAGGGGCACAGGGAAGCTGGGGTGGAGCAGATGAGGCTGACCCAGGCCCTGCCTGGCTCCTGGCCTGCATCTGCTGCCTCTAGCACCCCTCGCCTGGAGGGGTGTGGCCAACCAGTCCCCCTCTGTTCCTTACTCCCAAAGATAAGGAGTAGAATTTGCAAAGAGCCGCAGAAGGGGGCTCCCAGCATCATGTACCAGGGGTATCCAGCCGCAGCACAGCCCCCAGCCTGTGTTTCTGCTGTCCCTGGCCAGGAGGGCCTGTGCTGGGTGTCAGTTGGTGTCCAGCCTGGGAGCTGCAGTGGGGAAGAGGGGGGCTGTGGGCTGCAGGTGTGTGGTGGGCAGGGTGGCGGGGTCGCTGGGCAGTGGGTGGCTGACACGGAAACATTTCTCCTTGTGTGCCTTCAGCATGTTGGAGAAGCGGAAGCGCTGGCCACACACGTCGCACGGGTAGGGCTTCTCTCCCGTGTGCGTGCGCCGGTGCCGCTTCATGTTGGGCCGGCTGGTGAAGCTCTTGCCACAGATCTCACAGATGTATGGCTTCTCCCCTGTGGTTGGAGGGGCGGCAGGAGTGTTACGCCCAGCCCTAGCTCCCCTGGCACCCCATCCCACCCAAATCGGGGACAAGGGGACCCAGAGGTGAACTGAGGCCTGGGGGAGGGCGCGCACCTGTGTGTGTCTTCATGTGCTCGTCGAAGTACTGCTTCATGTTGAAGTCCTTGCCGCACCACTGGCACATGAACTGCTTGTGACCGATGTGGATGCTCATGTGTGAGCGCAGCTGGTACTTGTACTGGAAGCGTTCATTGCAGTTCTGCGGGGAGGGGAAGAGCTGCAGACATCCTCACCCTGGCTCCCCCAACCCGGAACTCCGTGTGTGTGTGTGTGTGTGTGTCCACACACTGATAGATGGACCCTGACTCCGTGTGTGTGTGTGTGTGTATGTGTGCGCGTCCACACACTGATAGATGGACCCTGGCTCACCCAACCTGAAACTCCATGTGTGCATGTGTGTGCGTGTCTCCACACTGATAGATGGACCCATGTGGCCAATTTCTGATGTTTCCTCAGGCCCTCCACCTTTGCTGCTTATGAGACAGGGTCTCTCACTGGTCTGGACTTTTTCAGGCTGTGCTGATTGGCCAGTGAGCTCCAGGCACCCACCTGTCTCCGCCTCCCCAACACTGAATTACGAGCATGTTCCTCCATGCCCATCTTTAATGTAATAAAAACAACAAAACAAACAAACAAACCCCCTGGACTGAAGCTCAGATTCTGACACCTGCGTCTTCCTGACTGGCTGTCCCCGGTCTTCCCTTTGGTTTGTTCGTCTGCCCCCAAGCTCGTTCTATGACTGACATTGATCTTGACTTCCTACTCAGGCAGCCTCCACTCTCCGGTGCGGGGATTACAGGGTCATGCGTCTACCCAGACCCCTGGCTCCCTCCCTCCCTGTCCAAGGGGACCCCATAGCCAGCAGGAAGCAGAGCTCACCTCACAGCGGAAAGGCTTCTCCCCGGAATGCTGCAGCGAGTGCACCTTGAGAGACATACTGCGCTTGAAGGACTTCCCACAGGTCTCACAGGTGAAGGGCATGTCCTTGGTGTGGGCTGCGGGTGGGCACCATCTGTCACTTCTCCAGGGCACCTACCTGAACCCCCAGACTTGCCCTCTGGCAGTCCCGCACCCACTTTCTTGGGGGAAGGGGTGGTACTGAACTCAACAGCACACCCAAGGGACACTGAAGGCCAATGAAGAAAACATCTGGAGACAGCCCTCCCAGCTCAAATTACCAATCTGGTTACCCAGCATGCTGCTGGCCAAGACCTAGACCCCAGTCCCATCCAGTTGACACTCTCCAGTGGAGAAAGGGAGCCTGTCTGCGGGGCCATTTGTCTAGATGATCACTCCTCCTCTCTGGAGCTTGGAGCCCAGGTGAGAAAAGGTGAACACAGGAACTCTAGACACGCAGCTGGGCCCACCTGAAGATGTGCAGCCTTGCCTGAGCATGGGTGTGGCTATCACACTTGGGAAGGCCTCCTTACTGTGTCCAGGCGTGAGCCCTGGGGAAGGTGGCACTCAAGAGAAGCCTGAAGCCCTGTGAGGGCCAAGAGGAAGCATGAGAGACAGGCATAGTGGCTGTCACACCGAGACAGGACAGTGCCAGCCCACATGGAATCGTGTAATTCAGGAAAAGCTGCCCCTTTCCATACCAGGGTCCACAGCCTGGCCAGCTGTGTGCCAGCTTGTCGGGGCAAACTGCCCGCCTGTGTGTCGCTTCCCCAACCTTCCCGTCACCTGGATGCAAGCCTTTCTGACAGTCAGCGGCTGGCCGATCCTCTGCCCACGCAGCACCGGCAGGGACTCACCAACCATGTGTTTGCGCACATGCGCCATGGTGTAGAACTTCTTCTCGCAGATCTCGCAGGAGAACTTCTTCTCCGCGTAGCCATGCACGATCTTGTTGTGCTCATGCAGGGACCAGAGCTTCTTGAAGGCTTTGCCACACGTTACGCACTATGGAAGAGGAGCAGAACTTTGGGTGTGAGCTGGAGCTAGCTTCGGCTCCTCTACAGCCTCAGTTTCCCCATCTGTAGAGCACTAGTGAGATGGCTGGATCTGATGTCCTGAAGCTGGGTTGACTCCCCCCAGACCCATCCATGTGGCTGTCTGGGTACCATTTCCAGGCTTTGCTGCTCAGGCAAGAGGCTGTAGACTATGTCAGGTGTGGTAGCTGTGCCGGTTGGTGGGGGACCCTTTGGGGCCTTGTTAGTGCGGGCTCTACAGGCCGCAGAGGGTACTAGGGCTTCCTCGGGCAGCGAAGGGTGGGTGGGCTGAGGGTAGCTCTCCTGGACTCTGGTCCTGCTCAACCCAGCAGTAGCCCCAGAGACGGTGGGGGGGGGGGGGGAGCACAGACTTGGCAGGAAGGAGTAAAGGCTTCATCCCCTTGGGGTGGTTTAAGATGCAGAAGGGATTGCTGAGAAACAGCCGCGGGGCGGGCAACAGGTGCAGAGTGGGGGATGGGCAGGTCACCAGGCCACACCTTCCCCACTGGCATCACAACCAGCAATTAGTTCAGGTAATTAACACCTGCCTACCTGTGGCCATTTTTTTTCTCTCGGGCCAGAAAATTAGCTGCCTGTGTGTGTGTGCGCATGTGTGTATGCGCACACACATGCTGGGGTGTGTTCAGACAGATGCAGACCGGGCAGCCACCCCAACACCACTACACACACACACACGCATGCACGCACACACACATACACACACACACGCACACACACACACACACGCATGCACGCACACTTCTTTCCAACATTTTCATCCAGTCTTTTTTCTCCAGAGAGCTGGAACCTCCACAGAGTTGAACACAGGGGTCGTTTCCCCCTCCCCCATGGGCCACTGCTCTACGCAGTGACTCTGGGGGGAGTCAAGGGTGGCAGCCCCTCTGGGCAAGCCCCTTCCCTTTTGTGCACACTCTGTCTGGTGTAACGTACAACAGATGTACCTGCACAGGCAGCTCTGGGCCCTAGAGATGTGTTAAAGACACGCTCTCCCCGGTTCCCACAGTCCCCCTGACCTCATGCATCCACGCAGCTCCACCCCAGGTCCCGGGCACTGTCTGGGCAGCATCTCACCTGGATGTTGCGCTCGCAGTCCGTCTGCCGATGCAGCTGCAGCTCACTCTCCAGCAGGAAGCGTTTCCCGCACTGGCCGCAGATCTGCATACGACTGTGCGTCACGTTCATGTGCTTCTCCAGGTACCAGCGGTTGTTGAAGACCCGGGGGCACTTCTGGCACGGGTGCTGCTGTTTCTCCTCCAGCTTCACCTTGGCCCCCAGTCCGTCAGCTGCCTGGGTGGCAGGAACAGCTCCAGAGGCCTTGGGCTTCTTCCCGCCTCTGCGCCTAGCCTCCTCCGGCTCGGGGGTAGCTCGGTGCTGAGCGTTTTGCCCCCGGGACCGTGTGGACATTCTGCTGTGCAGCGGAGGGTCCACCTGGCCACCTTGACACCCTGCTGGACCCGCAGGGTCCTGCCTGCTCTCAGTCTCCCCCTCCTCCTCCGAACTCTCTGCATCCTGCTCACTGGGCCCATCTGCTTCATCGTCATCCTCCTGCTCACTGGGCCCTTCCTCATCTTCCTCCTCTCCCTGGCTGCCTCCCTCTTCTTCTTCTTCCTCTTCCTCCTCCTCCTCTCCCCTTCCACTACCTCCTCCTTCCTCCTCTTCTTCTGAATGTTCCTGCATCCCATCCTCCTGGCCAAGCACCACGGTGGCCCCAGAGCCCGGTTTGCCCTCAGGCCCAGTGGACACATGCAGGGTTTGGTTATTGAGGTTCACCTCCACAATGATTTGAGACTGCTCCTGGCGCCCATAGTTGCCCGAGGCACCCAATTCCCGTTCTAGTCCCTCTCCACTTTCTAGCTTGCACAGGCTACCAGGCGGCTCGGCCTCCTCAGGGGTCCCTTCCTTTTCCTCCTTGAAGAGCAGTGGCTGTGCTGGCCCTGGAGCAGCAGAGTCCCCAGTGGTCCCGGCCCCGTCCTCCACGCGCACAGAGTAGGGGTCAGGGCCTTCTCGGGCGTAGATCTTCGGTAGGCCGGGGGTATCTGCCTCCTGCTTGATGTCACAGTAGTAGGGCGGCGGCGGAGGCACTGGGGCACAGCTGGCAGCTGGCTGCGCCAGGGCCACAGGGCCCGAGGGCGCCAGGGACCGAGCGTCCAGCAGCTCCTGGCAGGAGGCTGCGATGTCCGCCATCTGCAGCAGCGAGGCCGCGCTGAGTACCTCGTGCACGTTGGCCGCGTTCACCAGCAGCTTGGACGTATATATGAAGTTCAGGATCTGCTGCAGGCCGCTGGGCGCCAGCGCCTCGAGAGACAGCTCGACCCGCTGCAGCTGCTTGTTCTGCGTGAAGAGCGAATGGAAGAACTGACTGTAGGCAGCCAGCACCCCCTTGTGCGCGGGGAACACGCTACGCTGGGGCACCAGCACCAGGTCCACGTCACACAGGTCCGGCTGGAAGAGGCGCTGCTCATTCAGGCGGCCCATCAAGCAGGCGAAGTGCAGGGCCACGTCCTCCACCAGCGAGAACTCTGCCGCCGGGGAGTCTGTAGTCTTCTCAACCAGCAACTGTGGGCAGGGACACAGGAAGGTAAGGACCAGCCACTGCCCGCCCCTGCCCAGGGCGTGGGAAGTGCTATCGGAAGAAATGATCTTCATTCATGGTAGGGGATGCCAGAGGGACAGCTGCTCCTGGGGCTACAGGGTCCTGGGACCTGTGCCCAGCTGGTCACTCTGGGCCTCCTCTCTTAGCTCTTCTGTGCACACAGGACGGCCACACAGAGAAGGAAAGGGACAGGGGCCGTGTGGACCACCTGTCCAGATAGGTGGGGCTTCTTGGGATGTGGGGCTTTTGGGGAAGCCCTGGTACAGGAAGACTAGGGGTCACCCCAGGGTCAGCATTTATTGTGTCCTCCGTGTGCCCTGATCATCCCACCACACTGACAGAGAAGAGCTTACTCAATGATGAGCTGCTGGAAACCCAGCTTCTGCCACAGCGCCCAGGCTGCATCTGGGGGATGCATGTCCAGGCCTAGCCCATCATTCCTCTCACCCTGGCCCTTGCACCCAGGGCCTTCAGGGGAGGGTGGGCTGTGTTTACCACACTCCCAACAGGACACCTCAGCGTGGCTGGGGTGATGTCCAGGTCTAGATGCTCCAAGATGGCACTGTCTTGGAGGCCATATCTCCTGAAAAGCCCTAGAGACCTTAAAGACCACTAGATCAGACTGCCAGAGAGCTCCCACAAGCTGGGTGACAGAGATGGCCGGTCTTATCCCTTGCTTAGGGCCTGGGGCTCAGCACACGACACTGGCCAGTCCAGGCCCACACAGGCCAGAGTTGGCGACTGCTCAGGCTCTGCCTGGCAAGATAAAAGCTTGCACAGTGGGGACATAAGCCCACTACCTCTTCCTCAGAGGTCCAAGGACCCGGTCAGTCGGTTCTCCTGTCAGCAGTGGGTGGGCCAGATAGGGAGGACCAGGTCTGAGCTCCCTTGTCAGAAGCCGGCTAGGGGAGAGCTCAGGGAGTCTTGAGCCCGTGCCCATCCAGAGAGCAGCCCAGCACATACCAACTCTCTGCCCTCAGCTCTGCCGACAAGGCTACCACCTTCCTCACGTCCCTTCCACCACCCAAGAGCCACCCATCTTTGCCTCTACCCCAGAACTGCTGGCCCATCTAGCTGGGACGTGGCATGGAGCTCCGCCCATCCATCCTTCTCCTCTGAATCACTCTGATTCACCCTCTGGGACCAATTCCTGCCACACAGATGGAGAAACTGAGGCTCCAAGAGGCATTGCCTCCTGGAGCTGTGGCCCTCCAGCTCTGCTCGGGTACCCCTTCCTTCCGGCTGGGGCACTGTCTAGATGGCAGAGTGAGTTCTGAGAGTGAGGTGGGCTGGGAACCAGCCAAACACGGTCCCCACACCGTTCCCAGTCACCGCACCTTCAGGTGACCAGTGTCTGCACTACTGGGGGGTTGGATGGTGGTGGGAAAGGCCTGCATACCACACACCCCACGCCTGGGACCCCTCTTCTTCCTTACAGAGCTCCTCACCCCCCCACCAACCCCGCCAGGGTCACCTGCGGGCACCTGAGTCTGGCAGGAACCCATGCATTTCCAAAGCCACTTCCCAGCCTAACACTGCCAGCCAAGTGGCCTGGCCCAGCTGTGGGCCCAGCCCCTCCCACTCAGTGCCACCAGCTGTGGGTCTTGGCCAGATGCTTCTGCTCTCTGAAGCTGAGGAGGCCTCTCTCCACCTGGCTATGCTGCCAGCTCCAGCAGCTGCCCTTCCCCCAGGGGGACACCTGCAGAGGCCACCAAGCTTCTGACTCCTGAGGGCCATCTGGTGAACCCTGGGGACAGTCAAGCCATCCGGTCCTCCCCGGGCAGCGGCCAGCGGGGGAGCGCCCAGGCCGAGCAGGGGTACGGGCTCGTGACTTCTGGGTGCCTTCTTTGGAGAGGCCTGGCTCAGAGACAGCAGGGGACCGGCCCAAGGTCACACAGGAGTTTCCACTCCAGCTGTGGGCGCCCCCCGTCCTCGGTGCGGAGCCGTCCCGATCTCCAGCAGGGAGGCTGCAGCGCCCACGTGGCCCAAGGCCTGGGCGGGAATCCGACTCCCCCTTTACCCCCTCCCCCATTACCAGCCCCGGGGCGGCGCCGTCCGGGCGCAGAGAAGAGCCCCCCTCCGCCCGCGCGCAGCAAGACCTCGGTCTTTCGCTCCTGCACCCCCCCACCCCAGGAATTTCATCCCCTAGCCGCGCCACCGCGCCGCCCTCCCGGCCTGCGGACACCCAGTAGACAGGGTCGAGGACCCTCGGGGGAGGGGTCAGGTCGCTCCAGCCCCCGTACTGGGTCCCGCGGGACCGTGCGCTCCGAAAGGCGGCGCTCGCAGGTGGGCGGATAAGCAGGGGGACAGGCAGGGCCCTGCGTACCATGGTGCCGCGGCGCTGGGAGCTCACAGGGCCCCGCAGGATCGCGCTGCCCCCGGCGGCCGGGCCCGGGCCCGGGCCGCCCCATGAAGCGCCGCGCTGGGGGCCGCCCCCGCGACCATGGCCCCGGGGGCGCGGCCGGGCGGGCGGGCGAGCGGGCGGAGGCGCAGGGCCGCGGCGAGTCCCGGCCGAGCAGCTGCGGCCCGGGAGCCTCGGGCGCGGCGGGCGGGGGGCGCGGGGCGCCGATTGGAGCCCGCGCGTCAGCTGGGGCCGCCGTCTGGACGCTTAAAGGGCCAGGCCGCCCTGCGTGCGGGCTAGGGGCGCGGGCGCGGACGCGCGTGGTGCGCGCCGTCCCGATGCGGCTGCCCTGCGGAGAGCCTCGGGGTTCTCCGGGCCGGGCGGGCAGCCGACCTGGGAGCGTTTGAACCACGCGACCCCACCCTCCCTCTCTGAGCCCCTCTCTGCGGGGAAGTTCGTCCCGGAGCCTAACCCGTGTGTCCTCCCGCTGCTCCACGGGGGCGGGGCCAGGGTAGGCGTGAGGTCACTGAGCTGGGAGAGCCAGCCCCCGACCCACCTGCTCTCTTGCCCGAGCCCCGCTCCCCAGCCACGCTCACAACCCGCCCCCTGTGGCCCCGGCTGCTCCGACTTGGGGGTGAGTCTGGGGTCCCCAGCTGCTCCGGCCTCCCACGCGTTTTGCTCTGAGCCTCTGGGACCTACCTAGTGGCCTTTGACTGCCCAAGGCCTCCGAGTCGCCGCAGAGAGAAAAGCCTTTCAGATGACCTGCCCGGGACAGCCGGGTGGGAGGCCAGAGGCCCAGGCCCGGCCGAGTGGCCTCTCCGCGCAGCCTCCGCTGGGGAGATGCAGCCCGGCTTGCGGAATGCTGCTCTGGCACCGGCTCGGTGGGGGCAGGGGGCTGGCTGTGCTGGCAGGAGGCTGCAAAGGAACGCTGCCAGGCTGAGCGGAGGCAGGGCGGGACCACGGGCTACCACCGTGGTCTCTCTCTCTCTCCTTCGGACGCCCCGCACCCCTACCCAGCGGCCGCTGTTGAGCCGAGTCACTCACCCAGCACTGTACCAGCCCGACCTCTCCACTCCACTCCCCACGGCCTCCCTGGGTATATACTTTCCTCATGGTGGGGAGGGGGCTGTGGCTCGCTCTTTAGAGCCAGATAGGTATCATCAAATAGTTGAGGGTCTGTCCCCTAAGAATGCAAGGCTCTCCCACGAGGACACTGGGCTGGCTACCCCTGTGCTGGGTAAGCTGAGTCAGGTGGGGACAGAGGAAGGCCCCTTCCTCCATCTGAGCAGGACATGCCCTGTAGCTGGGAGAGCGAGCTGCTTGCAGCTCCGCATCTGGACGAAGGCATAGATGCCTGACTGTGCTCCCCTCCCCGGGTTCTAGGCTAAAGCTGGAAAGGCCAGTTACCAAGATGCCGCCTGTCACTTCCAGCCACCATTTCTCTTCTGACTCTGGATCGCTGCACTGACCTGCAATGGGGGAAGGGAAAGGCTATCTACCCACTGGGTGGACAAGGACAGGGTCCCACAGGGAGACTAGGCGTGCAGACAGAAGAACCCTGTGCCAGGAGGCTGGAAGCTGGGTGTCGTGGCCGCCCTAACCACAGGAAGGATGCTGGCCCTTTGGGTGATGGCCTTGGCCCACCCCAACTCCCCAGGCCTCAGCTGTCCCAGAGCAGAGTCAGAGCTCTGACCGAGGAATCCAGGACGCCCTGGTCATTGGTTGCAGAATTGCGTGGTCAGGAGGTGGGGTGCAGGTGTCCACCTGGAGGAGAGTCCTGGATGGAGTGAGCCCTGAGAACGGGACTGACCAGGGGCACTCTACTTCCTGGAGGGGCAAGACAACCTCAAGCTCTATTGGTGAATAGGGCTGGAGCACTCACCAGCATGGGACAGAGGCCGGTGCTTTAGACTGCCCCCAGTTCAAACTTCACTTCTGAAAGCAAGGAGACAGCCCCAAACCGCATGGGGTTCCCTTTGCTCACCAGATAACATGTGGGGTGGTGCAGGCTGGAGGAGGGCCGCAGCGGCCTGCCTGTACAGTGGGGCCTCCTCCATCTGCCTGAGCTCTGGCTGCAGAGTCCAGCACTAATGCGCCACAGCGTGGGAGCCTAATGCTCCCATCGGGTTCCTTTACCCACACCAACTCCAGGGGCTCAGAGAGAGTGCCTCCCTGCTAGCTTCTAGAAGGCTGCCAGAGACCCTAGTCCTGCACAACCCCGGGGAAACTAGTGAGGAGCTGCAGCGGCCACGTCAAGGGCTGTTCGCCACAGCTGCGGTTCCGGTACAGCGCTCCCTGGACACAGCCTGTAGGAGGCAGGCTCCTTTCCAGGCCAGGGCAGAAAGGCTCCACCACTTCTTTACACTTGCACCCCTGGGATCAACTGGGGACAGCGGTTCTCCCAATCTCATCACTGTCACGTGTGGAGCAGAGATCCAGAGCCGAGGCTCAGTGGACATAGGCATAGGCCTGGCCCTTTCCACTTCTTGGTTGTGGAGTTGGGTCTCACTGCGTGCCAGCGGTGTGATGCTGAGGGAAATAGCCGCGGCACCAAGCTGTTCTGAGACAGGGAGGAAGCAGCCATGGCAAGGGCGGCCCAGGCCTCAGAGGAGTGCAGTCTGCTGTGGTCTGCAGGGGATTCTAGGGTGCTGAGCTCTCTCCCCCTCACACCTCCAGTTTCTGAGGGACTGCAATAGCCAATAATTTCCGCCTTAGTCAAGACAACCTGACCTGCCCCAACTTTTTAAGATTAAAATTTATGGGTGTGCTGTTTGCATGTATGCCTATGTGAGGGTGTCAGACAGCTGAGCTGCTATGTGGGTGCTGGAAACTGAACCTGGATCCTCTGGAAGCACGGTCCATGCTCTTCACCACCCTCCACACCCCTACAGGACAATGGGGAGAGCCAACGCCTAGCTAATTCAGGTGAGACCAGAGCCTCTGGCAATGCCCCAGTACTGTCCAGTCCACCAGATGAGAATAAAGTTCCAAGTATCCTCCCCATCTCTTTGGAGGGTGTGGAACTGGGTCTCATGAAGCTTGGGTTGGCTATCAGTTCATGGATCCTCCTGTCTCCATCTTCCAAACCTAGCTAATTTTAAATTTGACTTAATGTATTTTTTAAAAAATATTTATTTATTATGAATACAATATTCTATTTGTGTGTATGCTAGCAGACCAGAAGAGGGCACCAGGCCCCATTACAGATGGTTGTGAGCCACCATGTGGTTGCTGGGAATTGAACTCAGGACCTTTGGAAGAGCAGGCAATGCCCTTAACCTCTGAGCCATCTCTCCAGCCCCTAATGTATTTTTTTTTGACAGTCTTACTGTTCAGTCCTTGGGCTCACACAGATCTGCCTGCTCTGAACGCTGGGGTGAAAGGTATATAGACGACCATCCCTGGCATGTTCTTCACATTTTAAAGGAAAGCACCCAAGTTGGAAAGACTATATAGAAAACTCAGTATCTGCAAACAAGAAGTCAGGTTGCCTGCCTGGCAGATCCTCACTTGAATGTGGCCTCCCTCAGGAGGTGTGTGATGATGGGCACTGCAGTCAGGTGACTCTGCTCCTAAGCAGAGGAACATGGAGCTGCACCCCACCTGTGTTCTGCCAGGCTTTCCCTGGCTCCACTCCTGTACCACAAACCTGCCATGGAGAAGTCTCTTTACCTGCTGTATCAGAAACTGATTATGGAGTCCGAGCAAGCAAAGACCAGTCGGCACAGACTCAAAGTTAGCATGTATTTTCATTTCTACAAGATCCTTTTTGAGTTGTAGGGAAATTAAATCGATGTATATACAAATTAGACACTGCTAGTATGTACAAAAGTCTTTTCTACATTTTTGACAATATCAACTATGCCATTTGCAGTAAACAGGATGTTACAAAACTGTCCAATAAAGCATTTTCTATTAAGCACATTACACAACGTAATTCAATTTTATTAAAAAAATAACTTCAAAAATACAGAATGATCCTGGTTAGGAAGAAAAGCCATTTTTGTAGTTCACTTGAGTGTAAACAGCCAGGCCCACACTGCTGAAGATGAGAGCTGCCTGGATAGGTTAAGCCCTGTCGTGGCGGCAGTAGGTGGCATGCCCTGCCTCTTCCCATGCCAACCCCCAGAACCTGCCAATGCCCACAACTCCTTTGACCACTGGACTGCAGATGGAGACTGATCTCTGATCTGGTTTGATCTAGTCATATGGACCCTTTACACAGGAGGAAGGCAGAAGTTTTGAAGAAAGACAAAGGATTCCTGCTGGCTGAAGACAGCAAGGCCTGGGGCAGGGATGTGGGCAGCCTCAAAGGAGCCCACAAGAAAGTTAGTCCTTTTCAGAGTCTTCATGAGGGATGCGTCTTCCAGCCCTCAGCCACAGTCCTGAGACTGCCCCACCATGCCTAGCCATGGCTGTACAGTTGAGAATCAATGGTGCACGGACACTGGTCTAGGCTGCGGGACTTGGAATAGTTTGTCACACAGCTACAAAACAATACGACATTGTTCAACAGTGACCCTTCCTTACTAACTCCATTTGGCAGTTTGTTTGGGTTCTGAATGCATTCTTCTCACCAACTAGTACATTCAAACATCCTTTTTTGTAGGAAACTTTTAGAAAAAAATCCCACTATAAACTGCATGTTTAACTTTCACTAGCCAAGCACTGACTGCTGATGTTACTCTGTCTTCTGATGAACTCACACACTTACTGGTGTGTTGGACCACGGCTGGCCACCTCTAAGAGTGTCAGCATAATTGATTTTTGGAGTGCTGGTCACTGACCCCAGAGCATCATTACATGCCAAGCACATGCTAGTACATTGAGCCACATGCCCTGGAAGACCATTTTCATAATTCAGTGCCTCCCTCCATCAGGCCAGGAATCTTCTTCCCAAATTCACCAGCAAGGCCTGGGATTGGATGGTATAGACTTCATGGACAACATACACAGGAATTCTTTCTGTGAACAGGATTAAACCGGCACTAAGGTGATTAAGTACACTTGGGGAAAGAATGCAAAGTAAAGAGTAAAACAAACAAACTCAAACTAGTTTTTACAGGTTAAATTATTTTTGGAGGAACCACGCAAAACCACAGGAACATCTCTCTGTGCAGCAGCTTGTGATCCTTCTGCCCCCAAATCTTGTCCTGGGTTTCCTCAGGTCAGGCAGGGCTTCACAGAGTCAGTGGGGGGTCTCAACACAATAGGGAGAGGCTGGTTGTTGCTAAACTCTCTGGGTGTGCTAACTAAAGACTGGAGTTGCTTCTCAAAGTCCACTCTCCAGTTGGCTCTTCTAGTACACGGGTGCAAAACAAAATGGCCAACCGTGCAGGCTCTGTCCAAGAGACCGCCACCACATAACTGTTGGGAAGCTCCACACTCAGTGAGCCCAGCTCAGAAGAAGTAATTTTTGGTGCCAGTGAATTAAAAAAAGTCATGATTCTATCTTCTGGCATCAGGACACGTAGTGTATGAAGGAAGGTACAGGAGGAACCAAAGGCACCAAGCACCGAGGTGGCAGTCTCTGTGGAAAGGCAGACATGGTAGCATGAGCCACCACCCTGCACAACTGGCCATAGTCAATACGATGTGGATGGCCTGATTTGACAGCACACACAAACAAGACTATAACCAGCTGGGGACATAGGAACGTGTAGCTGTGACAGCTCTCCACAATTCTGTTTGGCAGCATGGATGCTAAAACCTGAAAGCACTGACCTGAATTCTATGGACTGTGTGAGCTACAAAAACACTCCATCTAAAGTAACACTGCAAATGATACCTACATCAATTCTTGATTCAAGAAAATGAAAATTCCATAGTTGTCTACTGTAAAATGGGGCATAAAAATATTTGTAGTTGACATCTGCACTTTTAAATTTTTCTGCACACATGTAAATAAGTGACAAGAAATATCCACTGTTGGATTTGAGCTCTAATACTGACACACAACAGACGGCCATCCAGTTTCTCCAGCTTTAAGTTACCAGGTATTTACAGTAAGATACAGTCTCTGTACAAGGAGGCCTCAGCTGTATCTGCTGCTCTCGCTGGGGCTCCGGTGACGAGAGTAACTTCTATCACTTTCACTGTCCGAGCCATAGGATCTACCGCTCCTGTGGAACAGAACCAAACAATACAAAAGCCTTTAACACCTATTCTTTGGTTTCTACCTATGGCAATACTATGGTTTTAAATGGCAAATGATTAAGGTAATATAGACTACAATAGTGAGGTTTTATTTTTAAATTTACTTGAAATCCATTCATAAAATTGAGCAAACTACTTTTCTATTATACCACGGTGAATGTCAACACTAGGTTAGACTGAAGCAGGAAGGGTTAAGGGCACAGTCTCACTAAAGAAGTGAGGGCTTGGCAGTGGTCATCATTGAGTTAACGGAATAGTTTCTGAGAGGTGGTTAGCATGTCATGGCAGGCGTCATCCCACCACAAATGAGCAGCTCAAGGACAGTATAGGACAGTGGACAGGTAGGTGAGTACACTGAAACCCCAGAGGTATATTCAGGAAAAAAATGTGCCTCAGAGTTAGCACTGGGATGGAGGTGGGAGGTTCCCAGGGCAATGGGCTGCAGGGGAGACCTTCTGGGAAGCAGGGGGTTTGGGGGTGGGTACATGATCACTTTAAGACACACAAAAAAGAAATGATGGAGATGGCACTTGTGTTTCTGGGCAGAAGGTTCTAGAACATTATAGGATGGAGTAGGAATTGGAGCTGGTCAGCGGAGGGGTTCATATACAGTGAGTGCTAAGGCATCTGGACCTGCGCAAGACAGCCGGCATCCCTTCAACATTTCAAGCAAGAAAGCAGCCACATGCACCTGTCTGTAGAAGGTTTCTGGGGTTGCAATGGATGGGGGAGGGTGACCACAGTCACCAGCAAGGGACAATACAAAAGTGGTTATAAAGGTTTACATCTTATTAAATAAATGATTCGATATAAACCTCAACCCTGCTGCTGAAACAAATAATTATGATTAATTTAATAAAATGACAAACTGGCTGGGCAGTGGCGGCACACACCTCTAATCCCAGGACAGACAAGGCTACACAGAAAAACCCTGTCTGAAAAACAAAACAAAAAACCCCTGCCTATTCTAGTATATTAACCTGACTTTCAGAAGTGACCCATGATTTGGTCTTCTCCTTACTCCAAAAAAAAAAAAAAAAAAAGCTTGCTCAAAAGTATATGAACATTTGAAAATCCATTTTAATTTCAACTATAAAATAGTAACTATGACCTGGCAACTCAGCACCAAAGCCCTATTTAATAGCTGTCTGTAGGCCAATGAAATTCAGGGAGACAAGTGTCCACTGCACCAAGCACGCAGTCACTGCAGTGGTCGAGAGCAGGACCCACCTGGACCGCCTGTTGTAACTTCTCCCTCGATGATAACTGTCACTCCTCTGGCTGCGGCTGTGGCTGCGACTCCGGCTGTAGTAGCTATCATAAGTGTAGGATCTACTTAAACAGAAATAACACACATTAAATTTTCTCACTCAAATATGGAAAGTCTCCTTTTTAGGGCTGTCAGAGGGTGCTTGCTCACATGGGCACTCTATGGAAGTGTGAGGACAGTTGCATAAGAAGTTCTAGAAACATCTAGCAATTGCCCCCATTTGGACTTACCATGTTAAAGAGAAAAATGTTAATTTCTTTTCTGCATTGAAAAATATCACAAAATTAACACTGAGTTAGTTTGTCTGGGATTCTGGATCTTATTAGGCAATTATATGCAACAAGCACTTGCTATCACAATTTGATACTGTTGCCCAGTGGGTCACAGACATCTCATTTTTAAAGAGTGATTGATTTCAGACAATAAACATATGATTTTAAGTTATTTAATTAAAAAATTCAACATTAGGCTGGGGAGGTAAGCTTAATGGCAGAAAACATGCTGTGTACTGCACCTAGGCCTTGGATCAAATCCAAGCACAACCAGCCAGCCCCAACTCCATCCCCCAAGCATGCTGGGGCCTCCCACTGCCACTTACCTGGAGCGACTGTGGGGGTCATAGGAGCTGCTCCTGGACCTGCTCCTGCTGGATGTCCTAGTATGAACCACAGGAGGGACTGTCACCTTGTGCATCAGGGCACATTAACAATTGACACATCTTTGCCCATCAAAGTGAAAATACAGTGAAATCTTTTAACTCTTTCTTTTGTTTTAACCACAAATATGTTGGATTTTCCTTTTAAAACCTCTGTATTTCATAAAGCTTTACGTAGTTCTCTGGGGAGACTCTCCAATGGGTAGGAAGGGAAAAGGGCCATTTACGTGAGTAGCCACAGCAGGAAATATCTCAAGGCCAGAGAGAGAAGCAGCTAGGCAGTAAAAATGCGCGCCCTGGCCCTAGCACACACTTTTCTTTTGGTTCCCTCACTGTGACCCTGTTTTAACCCCTCAGTCAAGAGGTGAGTGTGCTTGTGAACCTCAATAAGATCTACATATGGAGGAGGCAGGAGGGGCGTGGCCTCTCAGTACTTCTGTGCCTTTGCCTCACTCTGATGAAGGAACAGTCAGGAAGAGTTCCAGAGCTCACAGAGCTAGATGAGAAACAACGGCAGAGCTACAGCTGCCTGCTCTGTCCCAGGAGGGAAAGGAACCACACAGCAGGGCGAGAACGCAGCTTACCTGTGGCTACGGAAACTTCCATAGGAACTGCTCCGGCTGCGGGTCCGGCCTCTGCTGTACCAGCCTCTGCTCCGGCTTCTGGAGTAGCTCCTTGATCTACAACGGAAATAAGTGAGAAAGCATGTAACATGTGCACTCCCAGTTAGGATGAACAGGAGGGCAGGAGGGCAGTCAAACCAGAATGCAGTCTCTTACAAATTCTGCACAGTGGACAGAGTCATGCACTGCAAAGGGAGCAGTTCAGAAGAAGCCACCATGGCTTAAACAATGAAATAAAAGCCACAAAAAACTGCAGTTGGTATATTTATATGCTCATGAATGTAACTACTTATTAGCTTCCTGTTACCATGGTCCCTCCTTTCTTAGCTGTCATTCATTCTTTGTGCTCTTCAGTCTATCCTGATGACAAATGCCGGAGGAAACTGATGAAAATGTGAACATGAGCCGGGCGGTGGTGGCACATGCCTTTAATCCCAGTACTCGGGAGGCAGAGGCAGGCGGATCTCTGTGAGTTCGAGACCAGCCTGGTCTACAGAGCTAGTTCCAGGACAGGCTCCAAAGCTACAGAGAAACCCTGTCTCAAAAAACAAAACAAAACAAAACAAAACAAAAAAAAAATAGAAAGAAAATGTGAACATGATCACAGAACTTGACTTAGATGTATGCCCTGGACAGCAAGCAACGTTGCCTCTATGGCATGTCTTCTACATGTGTAAGAGGGTAGTTAGATCAACAATCCCTAAGCCCTGCAGATTCTGCTCAAAAGATTCTTTGCAAAAGCATGGCAACCTGGGCAAGAAAGCCAGTGCCTTCACACCTTTGAATGTGGTCATGTCAACAGAGCTTTCATTGTCCAAGAGATAAACTACAGATAACAGTAACAATGGTCTTTTCAATTGAGAGCAAATTTCTTCTCCTGAAATGCCCACTTCCTATCTATGTCCTCTATCTGTGGTTTTGGTCATATGGGATAATGCTTCTTATTCCCTTGTCAGATATTTGGAAACAGTGATCACACTTCTGTTCTTCTGAGCTAAATGACATGGAGAGAGGGGGCTTCTTACCGGTAAGATGACGTGGAACTCCTGGATCGACTTCTCGAGTGACTATAGGAGACAGACCTTGTTCTGTGTCGAGATTTGGTTTCAGATTTACTTCGAGATCTGTGTGGACTCCTGGACTGGCTATTACCATCCCGACTAGGTGTCTGCTCATCACTGGAACTCTCTTGATTCCGTGGCCTCCGGTTTAAGCGTGCCGTCTTTCTTACTTCATCAAAGAGAGACCCGGGCCGAACTTTATTTTTGCTTTTGATTTCTATTCTCAAGCCTTGTGGTTTCACTTCAGTAACAGGAGCCAATGGCTTCACATCCAGAGCACTGGACATGGCTGCAGTAGACATCACATTTCCTATACCTTGCAATGGCTTCCACTTATCTGTGAGGTTCATCTGGCTTTTCTCAGGCCCCTCCTTCTTTCCAGAAATTTCTACAGGACTGGCCAAACTGGCAGAGCTGTCCTGTTTCCCACCTTCACTTGAGGTTTTACTCTCAGACACAATGTTTTCTTGTTTCCCTCCTGCTCTGGGCTGTGCTATGTGCTCAACCTGCTCTGGAATAATGCTCCCTTCTGGGCTGTCCAGCTTGCGGTTTGCTAATGGGGACAACCCCTCTCCTTTTGCAGGGGAACTCCTATCAGGGGTACAGATCTCCATGTTGTCATCTGTCTGAAGCACATCCTCCCCTCCAGCTGGGACACGCTCTTCAATGTGCTGGGCGCCAGGAGAGCTGGTGGTATTCTCCTCCACTGTCAGAGGTGCAGGGCAAGAGCTGGGATGGCGATCCCCCTCCGCAAGTGGGTTGTGCTCTGAAGTACCCTTCTTAGGATTACTGGGACCACTGCCTTCATCACAGGGTTTCTTAATTTTTGGAATACTGTCTTTCAAAGTTTCACACTTCTCAGAGATGTGCTTTTTTCCTTCTGGCTCCTGTGTAACTTGCTTTCCATTCATCTCCTCCTCCTCCTCGTCACCAAACTCCAGTGGAGGCTGCCAGTGAAAGGCTTGCTTCCGCTTTGGAGCCTTGTGTTTTTTGTCTTTTTTGGCTTTCAATTTCTCTCTCACTTTTTTTGTGTGATCCCCTTTAAAACTATCCTTTGGGCATTTCTGTTTCTGGGGCTCTGCTCTAACATTTCCCAAGTTGGAGCAGGAGCCCTCTGACTCAGAAGCTGAAGACTGTGGTCTCCTAGACTTCCAGGCACCATTACTGTCAGGCAGAGAAGTGTTTGCTGAAGGCTTTGCTGGGGGTTTAGCTTTGATGTGACTCTGGCCAACTTCTGACTCAGAGTCGGAAGAGGCTTCGCCCTCCTCCTTATCAGAACATCTCTGGGGATTACTTTTCCTGCTCTTAGTCACATCTTGTTCAGAGTTTGATTCAGAGTCCCATTTGCTCCCAGCACAGTTCTTCCCTTTGGACCTACTGCCATCTCTAGAGTGATCAGACAGACTCTCTTTCAAAGGCCTCTTTTCCCATTCTGGCTTGCCCTTCCCTTCTTCTTTGCTTTTCCCCTGCTTATCATTCAATACTTCTGTTTTCCCCTGTTTCTCCTTCTCTAGGGCCAAGTGCACTAACTCAACATGTGACTGTTCACTGTCCGAAGAATAATCCACAGATGATCTACTTTCACTATACTTTCTGTGACATGAAGACTTCTCTCTGCCTTTGACATATTTACTGTGAAGTATCTTCTTTGAGCTGCCGTGGTGTCTTTTATTTGAAGTGATGCTTTTTTCCCCATGGGATCTAAACGTCCTCCTTGTGGCTCGACTTCCCCCATCACTGCTGACAGAAGTGTATGAAGACGACCTGCTGCGGTGGGAACCATCACTATACTTCATTTGTGAGTGAGACCTAGATGATGGAGACCTAGATCGTGATCGTGAAGTCCGTGGACTCCGTGACCTTGACCTTGTGTATGACCTAGAGTATGACCGGCTCCTAGAAGACTTGCCCCCTGACCTTACTGAGCTCCCAGAACTTCTGTCACTGTACTTTGAATAAGCGCTCCCATCGCTTTCTGAATTTTTTTCTCTTTTGTGATAGGATGATGAACTCCCAGTTTCTTTAATATTTGTTAAACTGTATGTACTCTGAACAGGCAGCAAGTGAGTTGTTTTAGCCTTTATCTCCTGAATTCGCTCATAGGAGGGCTTCCAGGGCTTCTGTCCAGGCTTCCATCTAGAAGGGGGAGGGCTGTCACTCAAAGGTATTACAGGAATGTTTTCTGCAGCCACTGGCTGTACCAGCACATTTCCATTCTGTGGCATCGATGATCTTAAAGGTTCTGCCTTAGCTGGCTTATTTTCACTTAACGGAGCATGCTGTTTTGGTGAGTTTGATGCTGTCCTCCGGGGTTCTGACCTGGAACTAGATCTGGACTGGGATCTGTCGTGAGAACGTGATGAGGACTTTGACAAAGCCCTTGATCTAGAGCTCCCTCTAGAATCCGATGGTGAATGAGACTTGGATCTATAGGAGTCTCTGCTGGAGTGGGTTGAGGAGCTCCGGTCGTCCTTGTCTGATCTAGACCAGGCCCGCTTTGAGGAGTGGCGAGAGGAGGAGGAGGAGGAGGCACGGGGTCTCCTTTCTCTGTCACAAGAGGACTTCATTCGGTAGGTGGCAGATCTTGAGGGTTCCGAGTCAGGTGGCATTACTAATCTTTTCTTCTTTGTCTGTCTGTGTCTTCTGCAATGCTTCTGCTTTTTAGCTTTTTTTTTATGCTTAAACTTCTTTACCTTTCTGTGTTTCTTGTGGTGACCATCAGAGTGTCTTGCTGTACTAAGATCTGAATAGTATCCATTATAGGACCATGATCTGGATCTCTGGGACAAGCTTCTTTCATCCCATCGGCTTGAACAGGGATCACTTAGCCTGTAAGCGGGCGGAATAACATGCATGCAGTTATTGCAAACACTTTCTGTGTCTTACAACACACTTCTTACTAACAATAGAGTGCCCAATCTCAACACTTTAACATGTACCAGAGATGACAACTATCATCAGCCTCACAGAATATCCTTCCTGTTTCTAAGTGAATCAAAGACTGAGAATATTGGAAAACCAGACCAACTAAGCAGAGTCCTACGGAGACACACGACTCCTTCCAAGAGCAATTTCTGAAAGAGTGAAACCAGGTTCCCAAACAACCTCGCTGAGGAGTCTCTGCAGAGACAGAGCTAAGACTTGACAATCTGTCTCTGTGGTGCTGGCATCATCACTCAGGACTGTATGCATGCTAAACAAGCACTCTACCACAGAGCCAAGTACCTTGTCCTAACTAAACTTTCTAGAGTCTTTGTAAACATTTCTTCTTTTGTAAAATATCCATGTGCACATGTGTGTGTGTGTGTGTGTGCACATGTGTAGAGGGCACCCAGGTGCCATTCTTAGGAACAATAATTTATTTGAGAACGTTTCATTGGTGTAGGATTCATTAATACAGCAGACTGCTGCCCAGCAAGCCCCAAGGATCCCCCTGTCTCCAGCTCCCAGCACTGGGATTATAAAGTGCTTACCTTTTTTTACATAGATTTGAGTCCTCAAGCTTACAAGGCAAGCATTTTATCAACTAAGCTATCTTCCTAATCTTTGTTTTTGGAGAGACAGGTTCCTGTTATGTGTCCCAGGCTGGCCTGGCACTCACTATGTGAGCCAGGCTGAACTCAGCCTCCCAAACACTGGTATTATAATGCCATCGGGCCTGGCTAAAAAGTTGGCTTTTTTTTTTTTTAACTTTTAAAAATTTTTATGTGCACTAGTGTTTTGTTTTTGCATGTATATCTGTGTGAGGGTGTCAGACCTCCTGGAACTGGAGTTAGACAATTCTGAGCTGCCTTGTTGCTGCTGGGAATTGAACCTAGGTCCTCTCGAAGAGCAGTCAGTGCTCTTAACCACTGAGTGATCTCTCCAACCTATTTTTCTTTTTTAAAATGTTATTTCTTTTTAAGGTATCTCACTATATAGCCCAGCTGGTCTGGGATGCACCCATGTGGACCAGACTTGAACACAAAAAGGTGCAAGCTTCTGTCTCTGCTCCCAATGAGACTAAAGGCAAGCATCACTATACCCAGATTTCCCTCCCTTTCTTCCTTCTTTCCTCCTTCCCTTCCTCTCTTGTTTTTTTGAGACAGGATCTCTCTGTGTAGCCTTGGCTGTCCTGGAACTCACTCTGTAGACCAGGTTGGTCTCAAAGTCACAAGAGACCCACCCACCTTTGCCTGGGATTAAAGGCATGCGCCACCACCACGTGACCAGCTTTCTTTTTCTTTCAGAGACTGTATTAACTATGTAAGTCACACGAACACAGAAATGTCCTTAATGGGAACCTACTTCAACACTGAAATGACGACTACATTTTCTCTACTTCACTGTGGTAATTAATACTTTCTCCTAAACTCCTATTGACTTAAAAACAGAAACCAAACACAATTACACAAAAACTGACAAAAGCTTCACGATCTTACGAAGACGAGGCTCACAAGTGAGTCCTCAGCACCAACATGTCTATGCAAGTTCTATGCAGCAGCTGCCTGCCTCTTCCTTGTTCTTTAAATTCAAAACCATTCTCTTAAGATGCCTTCAGAGAAGCCAGAATTTTTCCATGAAGAATTACTTCCCCACTAGCTATTCTGGAGCCAGGCCCCTTTGGAAACAGACAATTATCTGTTATCCAACACCACTGTTATCCAACAGTCCTTGGAGTCAGAGATTAACTCCTGTGCGATGCAGGCTCTATTCACTAATCCATGTACCTGTGACTAAGGCATCTGTCAAGTCAGACATCTACTAGTGATGTCTAAGACCTGGTCGGCTCTACAGGTCAGAGTCTACTCAGATTTTCAGCACAGAGAAGCAAGCAAGCACCTGACTGAAGAGGCCTTGGCCTTAGGAAGCAGTAGTGCTGCTCTAGAGCTTTCCCTTGGCCATCTTGACTGTGGACATCAGAAGGCGACTCTCCAGCATTTACTGCTCTGCATCCAGGCTGTGTTTACATTCAAGTGCTTACTTGTCTCCTTTGCTCCACTTTTCTCCGCTTGGTGGCCTGTAAGCTCTCAGTCTCTGCATCTCCTCCTTCCAGTGAGGAGGAGTCTCACTGCTGTCATCATCTTCAGACTCAGAATGAGATCTTGACCGTGGAGGTGTGTGATAGCGCTTAAAGACAAGAGAGGGCAAGGACTGTTCTAAAAATGCCCCATATACGACAGCCAGGCAAAGGTCTAATCTAGGTACCAATTTAAGGGTCAACTGGATAGTATGAATTACTTCAAATACAAGACACTGAGAGGCAAAAAAGGCAAGGCATTTAGCTGGATTCCTACAGAATAGCTTTCTTTGCAGTCCTAACACATTCTAGCCTCCATTATTCAATATACTCAGACTTCTCAATATTTCATGTAGTACATCACTGAATAATTAAATCCATCTACAGCTGTAAATGTATGCAAAGGCAGTACCTTCCCAAATTATGCAAAATAAAAATGATGTCTTAAAACAGGAGGACTTTTTTTTTTTTTGAGACAGGTTTTTCTTTGTAGCTCTGGCTGTCCTGGAACTTGATTTGTAGACCAGGTTGGCCTTGATCTCAAGAGGTCTACTTGCCTCTGCCTCCCAGTGCTGGGATTAAAGGCATGAGCCACCACCGCCTGATAGGAGAAAGAGTTTATCTAAAACTAAACCTCAGATATTTAAGATACATTTTTACAAGCTACTATTTAGGTAAGCAGTGTGAAAAAAGAAAGTTCCAGCATGCGTACAATTGTGCCTCTTCCTCTAATTTTCCGTCCAGACTTTGACACAGATGGTTTCTGATCACTCGGAACAGGTGCGACATCTGGAATGTTCCTGAAAAAGTTGTGATGACAATTAAAAATGAATAATGCCAGAATGTCTTCCCAATGTTACCAGACAGAGCTACGGTCTTTACAATACAAGGTTTCATATTTCATGACATAAAAATTACATGAGATTCAAATGTCAATATCCATAGTTTTATGAGAGCAATCACATCCATCCACATATTTCTGAGCTCACTCAGCTATGAGGTGCACCACACCTAAGATACAGTCACAACTAGTATTTCAAGTGCTACATACATGACCGTGCAAACATGAGGTGTGTGAACTGCAGACTCTCAGTGCAGATAACAGATCAACAGCTCTAACAACTGTCCTAAAAGAGAACACTAACTTGAGCTCTAGATTGGAGTCACCCTACCCCAGAAAAATTCCATTAGTAAATATGTATTTGAAAAAAATGATTTTTTTATTAGTTAACTTTTTTTTTTTTTTTTTTTTTTTGGTTTTTCAAGACATGGTTTCTCTGTGGCTTTGGAGCCTGTCCTGGAACTAGCTCTGTAGACCAGGCTGGTCTCGAACTTTTTTAAATAAAAGATTTGTGGAGGAAGCCAGCCATGCCAGCACATGTCTATAATCCCAGGATGTGGGGGAGTTCAATGCCAGCCTAGCTACACTGCAAAACCCTGTCTCAAAAATAAATAAGCAAAGAAAACAAAATAAAAACCTATGAAGGGCTGGGGTACAGCCCTGCTTGGCTTCTCAGCTGTCTAAACAAACTCACAGGAGTTTATGACTTACACCAGGCACTGTGGTGCTTTTGTTCATGTGGAACATTTTCTTCTCCTTCTCCCTCTCCTTCCTCACTTTCCTCTTTTGACACTAGTCCTTATTACGTTGTTCAGGATAAACACGACTTCTGGAGTCAAATGATCTTCCCCAACTCTCCCTGCCCTCCACGGGCTGCAACACTCAGGAAAGCAGGCTCTGTACCTAGCCTGGGCAGCACAATAGAGCCAAGCCTGTTACTGGAGATGTCAGTCAGCCATCCCTTAAGTTTTGAGCATGGGAGAGCTGTCCCCATTTCTCATCTGTCTTGTGGTAGCATGGGCAAGGGAAAGATGCCCCCCTTCGCTGCCCATCAATCCCTGAGGCAGGTGGGAGAGCTGACCCTGAGGTCCTAAGAGCAGGAGAGCCATCTCTGACCCCCACCAGCTAAAACACTCAGAAGAGCAGGCCCTGCACCTCACCAGGGCAGCACAATAAAGCCAACCCTGTTGGCAAAGGTGTTGGTGAGCGCTAGCTCCGAAGTTCTATGCGTGGGAGAGCTGTCTCCGTTACTCAGCTGTCATGTGGTAGTGTGGATGGGGAAGAGATGCACTCTATAGCCCCTCCCCTTTGCCAGCAACAGCACTCAGGAGAGCAGGCCCTGCTCCTTGCCTGGTCAGCACAGCAGAGCCAGCCCTGTTGTTGGAGGTGTGGGTGACCCAGACGCAAAGTTGCAAGGGAGCTGTCCCCATTACTCATCCGGTATCTGGCAGCATGGGTGGAAGAGAGATACCTTCTCTCCTTACCCCCAGTCCATCAACTCCTGAGACAGAAGAGCTGGCCCTGGGGTCATAGAGCAGAAAGGCTGTACCTACTCCTTAACAAGTTGCGGCACTTAAGAGAGTGGCCTCTGCACCTTGCCTGGGCAACACAGCAGAACTAGCCCTGATGGTGTAGGTGGGGGAGAAGCGACCCTGAGAACTGACCTTACTACTTACTTGCTCAGGGCGCTGCAAGGGTGGATTAGCTGGGGGCAATGCTGGAGAGCTCACCCTAGTGGTGAGGACAGGGGAGAACTGGCAACTGGCAGGCAGACTACCCTGCAGCTGCCTAGCGCCAGAACCAGGGTTATGACTTGGCCCGTGCCAACATCCACCCCATCCATGAACTGTTGCAGCATGTGAAGGGGTCTGGCCTGCAGATCCAAAACTGCAGGATCTCCACACCACAGCAACAGCAGGATAACCAAGAGGAGTCTCTGTAAGGGCCCAGCATTGATGATATAACAGAAACCAGAGGCCTCAAATCAGACCAATGACTCTTTGTATGAACACTTGCAAGTACAGACACACGGATAAAGGGTTTACTGCACGACTCACTGTGTCACACGGCAGCTTCCATGATAAGATTTTCAATTTTTCCCTTTTTTCCCTTTAATTTTATTTTATTTTGGGGGGAGGGTTGCAGAGGCAGAGGTAGATGTGAGGGGACGGGGAAATCAATGGGATTGAGATGCATAATGTGAAAGGCACATAGAATAAAAAAAAAGAAAAAAATTAAAATCTTTTCATGTGTTTAAAAAAAGTCCTCATTCATGGCTAGGCTACATGCATACGCCACCATATTCATGTCCTTTTAATATTTTAATAATTCTGAATTTAAATGTAATATAAAAAGTACATTAAATAGTATTTTTTGAGACTAAATCTAAAGCCACAATGCAAGGAAAATTAACTACAGTAATATTTATGATACTAAATTTTACCTCCAGTCACCTCTGCATTATTAAAAGTGAAACACTTCATGGCTCAGTTGGATCCACAGGGCTCAATCAACCTGATAACCCATTCTGAACAAAAGGCCAATGCAGTAAGATCAGTAATATAACCTTCCCAGACCTCGAATAAGCATTTCCCTCCCTCCAGGTATGGCAGCATATACACAGCTATAGCTCGAATCCTCTAGAAGATTCAAGGCCAATCTACAACACAGAGCAAGAGTCATGAGTAGGCAAAAAACACCTAACCAAAACAGCAGAACACACACTCACTGAATAAGGTGCCCACTTCCTTTATCTAGTCATATACTCAAGTGTGGGTTCCAAAAAGGAGGTACAAGCCACTCAGTGCTCTGGGGACTACCCGCAGTATCTTCTGTGTACTCCAAGCCTGAGTCACAGTGAATGTAAAGTTGCAATGAAATAGTGGACTTATCTATCAGGAGACAAAAATAAACAGTGTGCTTGCTAACCACCACTGTCAACTTGACTGGCGATCCAGTCACCTACAAGACTGGGCATACTAACTATCCCATGTGCTAGGGCCAGGGCCAGGGCCAGGGCCAGGGCCGATTACAAGAGGAAGGAGGAGCTGAAAGGCAGCACTCCCTCCCTCTGTGCTAGGGCTGCTCCAGGGTCTGTTCTGCAGCAATGCACTTAATTCCCAGAAACCACGAGCAAGGTGCTGCTGTCCGCAGGCACAGCAGGGAGAAGAGCAATGTGCCACCCGCCTACTTACGGTTCAGGCTCCACTGTGACAGCAGGCATATCTCTTCTAAGTAGAAATCGGTTCTCGGGAACTGGAGGAATCTCTTCCGGACGGACAACTGGCTTTTCTCTTTTAGCATTTGAATCACTTGATCTTTTCTCATTCACATCACTCCTCTCAGAATAACTAAAATAAATAAATCATGTAACCAATTTAGATGCTAGTATTTCATCAAATAAAGGCACATAAAACAGCAAAACTTACCCCGAGTTATTGATTTTTACAAATATATAAAAACAACAAATATATTTTAAAAATCCAGAGCAAAGAAAATTTTTACAAAAAAGAGAAAAAAATTAAAAAGAGAAAAAAAAACAGAATACTAAAATTTTGAAATGGAAGTTGTCAATGCTACTAATGTTTCCTTTTTTTGTTTGTTTGTTTTGGATTTTCAATACAAGGTTTCTCTGTGTAACAGCCCTGACTGTCCTAGAACTCACTCTGTAGACCAGGCTGAACTCGAACTCACAGAGATCTGTCTGCTTCTGCTTCCTGAGTGTTGGGATTAAAGGCGTGCAATACCACTGCCTGGCAATGTTTCCTCTTTTAAAACTGTATTTATTTGTGTATGCTACTGTGCACATGCCATGATGTTGGAGTGAGACAACCTGTGGGCGATGGCTTGCTCCTCTGACCACAGGTGTCCCAGGGATCAAATTCAGGTTGTCAGGCTTGGTGAGCAGTCACTGAGCCATCTCAATTACCCATGTCTTGCTTTAGGGAGAATCAGTTTTCTTCAGGGGTGTGGACCCTGATACATACTCCTATGCTCCAGTGGGTGGCCCTATACCCCTGCACATACAGGTCACATTAAATGGACTCAGTGGGTTATTGAAAATAAGAGAGAGAGATTAAAATAAAAGAGAAGGGAGACATAGTGGGTACTGGGATTTGAAGAGGGATTAGGAAGTAGATGATCAAATTACCTTGTAGACATGTATGAAATTCTCAGAATAAATAAAAACACTGTATTGAAAAAAAGAATTTTCAGGAATTAGGGCAGGAAAGATGGTTCAATGAATATAGGCTCTAATCACCAAACCTCATATCTTGAATTTAATCCCTTGGGACCCATCTGTTAGAAAGAAATCACTCCTCCAAACTATCTTCTGACCTCAACACATATGCACATCTACTACATACAAACATCTTTGAACACACAAAATAAAACTTATTATTAAAAAAAAGTCCAGAAATACCTGCACCTGAAAACATACCAATTTTTGCTGAGAAGTCTATGCCACTCCTACATTGTTATAGGCATCGATTTAAATCCAAAGGCTCCCTCCCCTCTCTCAGTTCGGGGTGCACAACAACACTGAGCCTGCAGAGTGGTCACTGTGCAGGCCCTGTGCTGGGTCGGACCACTGACTCACACTTACCCTTCAGGGCTCACTGTGCGCTTCCTCCTGGGCTCCTCTGAACAGCTCATCTCCTTCCGTCTCTTTTTAGTGTGTCTGACTTTGGGCCTTCTCTTGTGTCTCCTCCTTCTGATTCTCTCTTCCTCAACTCCACTTTCTGAGGATGATTCTGAAGAGGAAGAGGAACTGGAAGAAGAATCCGAGTCTTCTGAATGTGTTGGCTTCTTCCTTTTTTTCCCAAAAACTTAATAGACATTAACAAAAACATTAGTACTTGAACCCAGTGCACATCATCCAGAGTGAAACAGTGACTACTGATCATCACGTAACTGCTTCGTGCTCAGCAAACTAAAACTAGATGTAAATTTTTCCTCAGTTACAGATAAGATAGTTGTCTGCAAACTTGAAAAATATCAATGCCCTTGCCCACCATGAAGCCTATATTCTAAATCAGTGTGACAAGTGATGAGAGCTAGGACAGAAAAGAAATAATGCAAAGGGAACAAAGAAGCAGGTAGCTTAAGACTACACTTGAACAGAGCCCTAAAGGAGGGATATCATATAGATATCTTAACAAGCAATGTTCTAGACATCCCAGGGCAGGCACAAAAGTTCCTTAGTGTCTGAATAAAGGTCAGTGTGGATGGAAGACAATGGGTAAGGGAAAAATAAAGACAACAGAGAGTCACAGGCCTATGTGCTGAGGGTACCACTACAGGTGTCAGGACAGGAAGGATGTGCATATGAAATGTGGCTTAAGAGGATCACTTTGGTAGCTGCTAAAGACAAAACAAAGTAAAACAAAACAAACAAACAAACAAAAAACCAGAAGAACTCCTGCTGACGAATGTTCACATGAAAACAAGACAGGAGCAAGGCAGATAGCTAGGAGGGCACTTCAATAATACAGGCACGAGATGGCCTGGATCAGCCAGCAGCCAGGCAGAAGCAACGAGGAACTGACGGCATCTGGTGGTGGATGGGATGAAGAATGGCATTGAAGCACCAATGCTACCACTATTCACACTAACATTCAGAAGGTATCCTAGACATTCAGAAGGTATCCTAGACATTTAGAAGGTATCTTAGATATTTAGAAGGTATCTTAGACATTTAGAAGGTATCTTAGACATTTAGAAGGTGTCTTCAAGTTGGGCATACTCTTTCACCTCTATCACAGACTCCTCCACCCTCCAAAAGTTCTTACCATCTTTTGTCAACTTTGTGGCAAGCACCCCACAGTCAATAACTCGGACATCTGCATAAGGTCTGCTCGCAGCATCCGTTTTCAGATTTTCAATCTGTTCAATTACTTCAAAACCGGAAATAACCAGTCCAAACACAACATGAACCCTGTCATAATATAAATTCAAGAAATAAATTAGTCACTGGGCGGTGGTGGCACACGCCTTTAATCCCAGCACTCGGGAGGATCTCTGTGAGTTCAAGACCAGCCTGGTCTACAGAGCTAGTTCCAGGACAGGCTCCAAAACCACAGAGAAGCCCTGTCTCGAAAAACCATAAATAAATAAATAAATACATAAGTCTTATAATTATATTATGAACAGTAATTGGGACAATGCCACAAAAAACATGTTCAGAGAACTGAAAATGTTATGAACCAACTAGAAGGGAAAGACAACTTGAATTCTACGTCATAATAAGAAACAGCAACAGTTCATCTGAAGAGAAGTGGGACTGTTCTGCAGTGGCTCCTAGCCTTCCTAGGGTTAAGTGTGTGCAGTGGTGATGCACACCTTTAATCTCAGCACTGGGGGGGGGGGGGCAGAGGCAGGCAGATCTCAGTGAGTTCGAGGCCAGCCTGGTCTACAAAGCAAGTTCCAGGACAGCCAGGACTGTTACACACAGAGAAACCCTGCTTCAAAAAACCAAACCAAACCAAACAAAAAATGCTGGAACAGAAAAAGAAAACTCATCCACAGACTAAAAATATTGGCTGATTCTGACTTAAAAGAAATCATCCAGGTAGTGGTGGTACACACCTTTAATCCCAGCACTTGGCGAGGCAGAGGCGGGCGGATCTCTGTGAGTTCAAGGCCAGCCTGGTCTACAAGAGCTAGTTCCAGGACAGGTTTCAAAGCTACAGAAAAACCCTGTCTCGGAAAACAAAACAAAACAAAACAAACAAAAACCCAAATCTGATATACTTCATACTGAGAAATCACCTCAACAGGGGCAATCAAAACCACATGGATGGGAAGCCTACCTATGGGCACAAGGGGAAGACCTCTTCAGTCATACAAGGCGATGGGCTCTCAAAACTACTGTTCTTTGTGCCTCCCTCAAGAAGAGCTTGACAATGAAAGACTAACTCCTGGTCAACCTGTCTTTCAGGCTTATCACCGAAATAACGTCCCAAGATTTTAATAACTTGATGCTTACCCATCCAGGTGTGGAGCAGGCTTTGTAGTTCTGTACAATAAACATCAACACAAAGATGGCATCAAAAATGACGTATTCAGATGAAGAAAGCAGAAGGTTTAAACACAGCATGTAGTAAACAAAGAAGTAAAGATAAAAAGACAGAAAAAAATGTTAAACATTATATCCAAACACCAATAGTAGCCATTTTGCTGATTTAAAAAAACCAAGATTGCAATGAATTATAGAAGCAATTCTATTAGACTATATGAGATAGGTTTCATTTGCATTATAGGAAAATGTATAGTGTACACACTGAAATTAAATTTACTCTCAAACCAAAAACAGTAATAGCAACAGAAACAAACATTAAAAAACAAAACCAATTTCCTAGCATAATTGAACAAGTAGGAAGGCCTTGCCCCACTAGGAGGAGTGATGAGCACTGGCTACACCCCCACTGGCTCTTTGGTTTGTTACTTAAGACTGAGACAGTCTGCATCTACTTTAAGGCAGGCAGCGAAGGAGCCTGAGGAGTCCTAGCTGCAGAACTGCCTGCCCCTCTTCTTTCATTCAAGCTTTGCCAGTCACACTCTGAAAATGCAAAAGGGAGGGACTTTCAAACAGCTGATACTCCTCACAGCAAAATAAGAATTGAGGGGGTATTGACATCTTCAATTTCCAAGGTCCAGAAAATACCCCAAAAGCTGCTCTGTGAATGTCCCACTGTCACTGTTGGGAAATCTGTGGGGTATACTTGGTTAAGATATTTTGAACCCAAGCTGGTTTTCCCATAACATTTTCCATAGATATTTATATGTGAATTACAATGCAAAAAATTGAAAGTGGATAGCTTGATCAGCGTTAGACCACCGGAACCTCAATTAGTAGATGGAAACAGATGACCTATCAGACCGTATTAAAGCTATTCTAAGACACATGAACAGAACACAATTTAACCTTACAAAAATGCCAAAAAACATTACTGTATAAGAGACTGTAATGCTTATACTTACTTTAAGAACATCCAGTTCTGTTAGAGGAGTATAGACAGATTTAACTTAAAAAAAGTTTAATGTCAACTTAAGTTTCAGAACTTTAAATAAAATTCTGAGTTTTAAAGTCACAAGTCTCAAATATTTCTTAGAAAATTGAGTAGAAATTAAAGCCAGTTTAATTTTTAAATAAAAATAAAAACAGGTAACAAAAAAGGGAAAAGAAATGAAGAAAATCTAACAACTGGTGAGCCAGAAACACTGAAACTATGAAACAATCACCCAGAAGCCATGACAGACAATAACCGAAAAACAAAAATGTTTTCTGTGTTGTACAACTTTCCCTAAACTGAAACTAACACACGAGCTGGACAGCAATACGTGCTCAGAAGGTGTAAGGTGCCTCCAGGAAAGGGACGATGGCTCTGCTGTGTAGATGAGCATCTGTGGTTGTTTGCTGGCTAGATATGCTGCTTCTCCTTTCTTGGGCCTCACTCGCAGGAATCCAGCATTGAGAAGGACTACGGATTTTTCTAGCACACAAAGTCTAATTCGACTGCCACCTCAGCTAACAAATACTATAAAAGCTATGTAAGGCAAACTCTTGGAACAAATTCCAGCTCGCTGCAGCAATACAGACTCAGACTAACTGAGGATGAACAGTGATCTTAGGGACAGATGACCTGTCTTATTTTGAAAATGAACCTAAGTCCCTCATATGTGCTAGAAATGTGCTCAACCACTGAGCGACAGGGTCAGGCCCAGTTCCGTGTTTAATTCAAATGAGAACTGGCTGATAAACAAACTCAGCCCTTAATGTACACATGAATAGAGGAAAGGGCCACCTCTGCCTCTGTCTGCTCAGTGTCCAAACCAATGTCAATCATTTAACTGACTGTCAATTCAGTAAAATATCCTGCAATTCAGGATACAGAAAGACCAGCTTGCACCTTAACTGGGACAGAATACACAGTAAGAACATGAACAATATTTCACAAAAAAGGAACTCTCTGGATTTGGGCCTACAAATTCCAGGGCTCTCTGTAGGGCAGGCACATTGGCACCGTATTTACAGCACACATGGTAAACAGTCAACAGCCCGTAGGATAACGAGGAGGGCAGGAGAGGCCATATGCTCAGCAAAGTCTGTTAAAGCAGACAGAGGAACCCTACCCAACTCTTTACCACACCCAATGGTCTCAATGAAATCACTCATGACAGCAATACACACACAGTAAATGAAGACTCAGAGATGTGCAAGTTTATACACACTAATTAAGGCTTCAGTGCTCACACACCTGTGTTCTCTCCTGTCACTTAGATACAGTCACTCCAGGCCCTGAATCCACTCAAAGCAGTTACTGCAAGGGTTCATTTAAATCACAAACTGAAAAGTATTGCTGTTGTTCCAAATAATAAACTACATTTATGCCATCATCGGAGTAGCTTTTGGACCTTACTAGTTCCTGAAATCCTAATGTAAAACACCGCCCATTGAGCTCACGAGCCACTGAAATAAACTGTACTCTGAGGTTAACCATAAGCAACAAACACCTTTGTTTTACATACACTGCTGCTACACAAAACAAGCAGAAAGCTTTTTCCTTAAAATGTTTCAATACACATAACAATAGGATTAAAGAAACAAAGGCAAAGAAAAAGAGAGAGCCTTAGAGTAATGAGACATTACCTTTGGAGCGCACGGTGTAACACTCTTTCTGTAAATTTTACACAAAAATGGCAAGAAATAAATTGTAATACACTTTTAAGACAAGACTGAATCTATGTTTTAATATCAATATAACGTTGAAATTAAAATTTTATAAATTTTATGCAAAGAAAGCTTTTTAAAATGGAGGGCTCTAAATTTTCTTTTACAAGATATTTATGAAGAGATGGATTTTGTTTTAGAAAAGCCTTGTGGAGATCTTCTTAGACTCATGGTACTTTAACACAGGGGATGGTAACAGCTAATAAAACATTTATAATCATAGAGACTAGCTATGCCATCTTTCTCATAAAGGTAATGCATCTTGAGTATGAACACAGACATACAAATCCAAATACTAAGAAGTAGGAACTTCCTGGTAGAAAGTAAAGATCACCCATCCCCACCAAAAAAAACAAAAAAACCCAAGTTCAGATCATTCAAAACAGAACTTGAGGAACTTAACTAATTCAGTTTGTGTTCACGTCTCTGCCTTTTAAATTGTTTTTTTTTTTTTTTGGCTGTTTATCACAACATAACAGAGCTGACATATTAGCTATGTCACAACACAACTGGAGAGTGATTTGGACAGAGACTAGACGGGCTCACTGCTTGCTGCATGTACTCAAGCTATTAAGTCACTGAACAGAATTAATTAAAACAGTCCTAAAGGCACAATTAGAACTTAGGGATCTTCTCTGAGACTCAAATGGCAACAGAGGTGACAGCCTTGGAGCATGATGTCAAATCCCGGCCACAGGATTTATGTCTAATCTGGTTTTTCCTCTTACAAGAATTTTTAAGAAAACACACATATGAATTTTAACTAATGAAAATTTAAAAAAACCTATGACTATATAAACCAAAAACCTTCTACTATACTACAAACAAAAACTTGATAGAATTTTAGATAGATTAGTTAAAATGTTGCAAAAGTAAATTAGAATCTCTTATATAGGTAATGATACATGCATTAGTGTCACACACACACACAAAAAAAAGTTTTAAATCATGCAGTTTTCAGAGTGTAAAACAGAAAGGTACTGCAGACCTAAGGGAAGAGGGCACTAAAAACAACTAATCTAATGTCATCTTTGACATTCAACTTGTTCCTTCACAGCCTGCAACTGCAGCTGTCACAAGGCGGGAGAAACTCACAATGCACTATGTTCCCAAGGCCACTCAGACAGAAGAGCCTTCTAAAGCTCAGCTCTAATATAAAGGAAACACACACAACATTTCTTCATGACTGCTAGCATGTATGTCACATAAGCACTCTTTGAGTTCAGAATCACAAACTCCTTTCCTCTCAAAAGATTTCTGAAAATAGTATATGAAGTTATTGCTTCCCCTGAAAACAAACAAAGCCTATGCAGCACAACAAAAGTGAACTGATTGCTCTTCCAGGACCGCAGTCTCATCTCCTAGCACCACATGGCAGCTCACAACTAGCTATGGAATTCAGTCTCGGGAGATATGGCACCCCTCTTCTGCCTCCAGAGGCATGGTATCCTTATGGTACACAGACATACATGCAGACAAAACACCCATACATGTAAAATAAAAACAGGGAGAAGAAAAAAGAACTTCATATATATAATAAGCAGGCTGAGTATAGAGGCACATGTCTTTACTGCACAAGGCGGCAGAGACAGAGGCAGGTGGTCTGTGTTCCAGCCAACCTTGGTTTAGAGGACTGAGTTTATAAGATCCTAAGAAAAAGAAAAAAAAATGTTTAAAAGGTCAAATGAGCTTTTCTATATTATCTTGTTTTCATAAAAATTATCAAGACCAAGAATAGTGGCCAGGAACATACACTGACCAAAGCTTTGAAGCTATAAAAAGGCCTATTTGGGGCTGGAGAGACAGCTGGGAGTACGAGTGTGGCTGCTCTTCCACAGAACCCAGGCTCAATGCCCAGCACCCACATGGTGGCTCACAACTACAATTCTAGTTCCAGAGGATCTAATGCCCTCTTCTGGCCTCTGAGGGCACTGCATGCACATGGTACACAGACATACAAGCAAAACACTCATGTGCACAAAAGACTGTTTTGTTTTTTAAAGGCCTGCCTGAAAAATATCTTAGCAGCAGCTGAGGGAGTGAGACTGCTGCAGCTCCTGGTTGAGAGAAGTAAGCCCCAAGCCTTTCTGAGGTGTTTTTCTGATGGTGAAAACTACGCAGCTACAGAACAATGTCTGTACACAAATCATTCTGTTTATTCACAGGGTCTTTCTGTAAGACAAGCTCTTTCTTCTAAAATGTTTATAGTTTATCTTAAAAATAGGGCTATTTGGGGCTTGGTAGATGGGTCGGTGAGTGTTTACTGTGTAAGTATGAGGGGGCCCTAGTTCCAAGAGCTAGTACCCACACAGCAGCTGGTAGGAGCATGTGCCTATAATGCTGGAACTGGCTGGAGAGGGCAGGGAAAGGAAAGTTACTGGGATTTGCCAGCCAGCCAGCCTAGGAGAATCCAGAGAGCTCCAGCTTCAGTGAGAAACTATCTCAAAAAGATAAGGGGAGGGGTTGACAAAGAAAGATACCTGATGTCAACTTCTACCTTCTGTTCTCAAGAGCACCTGAGAACATGCACACACATAAAGTGATGCCAGCTTTTATAAAAAATACAAAGATTTTAAAAAGTAACTCGGGGTACAGAAAAGCAGAACTAAAACCAAGGTTTCTTTGTTGTGTGTATGTGTGTGTGGTTTTCTGAGACAAGGTCTTCTGCTGTGTGTCCTAGGATGATTTGGAACTCACTCTGTATTGAAATCCACAGCTGTTCTCCTTTCCACAGCCACCAGAGTGCTGGGATCACAGGCATGAGCCACACCATAGGTATGCATTCTATCCCAGGAAAGTGGTAATAACAAAAGTTATAAATTGGCCTTTCTAATTGTTTTATAACGCTTTCCTCTCAACTCAATGACTTCAGGCAATATAAATCATTATAGTGATTACAGAATTATCACTAGCAACAACAGCTAAACAGTTTTCCCAGATGTCACTTTCTTTCTCAGAATGTCCCTGCCTCTGACACTCAGCCACATGGATCAGAACACAGCACTCTGACCCTGGAGCATGCAGTCAGCAGCTTTCTTCCTGTCTTGACATTTTCTTCCAGAGTGTGAGAAAAGACTCTGGTGCAGCCTGGACTGCACGTTTTTTCTTCCTTATTTATTTAGCATTTCATTCTCGACAGAACAAAAACCTTGTCCCACACGATCTCTAACTCCACAGCTTTTTCCTGACCCATCCATTGCTTCACTTGTTTTCTGGTGACTGAGCCCATGGCCTGGTACATCCAAGGCCAGCTCCAAGGCCAGCTTTCCATCACCGAACTATACTTTCTGCCCTGTAACACTGACTGGGTTTTTCTCATACTTGATCTAAAATATAAAGAGAAAATGACAAAATGAGTCAAAATAACAAGGACTGACTTGGTGAGTGTGGTCCCAAGATTCTGAACTTCTTACAAAATGTTTCCATGTGAACTCTTATTTCCTTACGACTTTATGAAGATGGGGCCACACACCATTTCCTTGCCACTTCTCGAGTGGCACTACTCCCAAAAATGTCTTTTCTTCTATGTAAGTTCCCCAAACAGAAGCACCAGTTTATACAGCAGTCAACACAAGTAGTTAACAGTTAAATTACAAATGGCTGTAAAGAAAACCTCATCTTCACTATTTATGATCATAAAATATTTATCTGTTAATATATACCTGCTAAGATATATTCTCTCCACACACACACAAAGTTTCAGCCACTGAAAATATCGTACATCAAATTATACTGATGAAAACAATGTACATCTTAGGAAGGGAAGCTGCTTAATGTGAGAATCAAGACAACAGTTAAGTGCACAGAGCACAGGAATCCCCGAGGGACTTCCATGGGCCATATAACAGCACCAAATTCACTCCTCAGGACCTGTAGATTCGTGGGACACAAACTGAGCACCATTCTGTGCAGATGTTTACCGGGTCCTTTGCAAGACCAATGGAACAATAAGGCACATCTGGGCCTCTCTTTCGACAGTATCCTTTCTTTCTCCTTCAGAACTACTACCAAGGTGCCAATGAAGTGTGTGGTGGAGAACACACCCCCAAGCACTGTCCCAGGAAAGCTACTGGGTAGGTCTCACCTATGATTATACACAGAACTAAAGATGTAAATTATTCGTTTTATGATTTCCAGCTCCAGAAGAATATTGGCTTGCAAAATACAGAGTTTCAAAGATTTCTCCTTTATTGGCCACCATCTCTTTGTATTTATCCTTTTCATAAAAGTCAGAATATTTTGTTCAGAAAGTGAACATCAGTTTGATTTTATCTTGCAACTCGTGGAAACTGGAATTTTCAGTCAGCATAAAGCAGCACATAGGCACACAAGTTACTTAAAAAAAATTAGAACAAACTTTGTGTGAGTGCAAAATGATCAGTTACTTCTAAGACTGTGAACTCTTCTCCACAAGAAAGTTTCATTATAACTTTTCACCAAACTAAAGATAGAAAATCTTTTTATCATGCATCCCATGATTTTAGTGCTATCTATAGTTAGTTCTGAAAACAAGCTTAAATTTTTTATTCCTAATTTATTGATTTAAAATTTTCCTTTGGCATTCCTCTTCAAACAGCAGTCCAATGCGGAATTAGGCCATAATGCCTTTACTAAATGTTCCTAGAGATTCAAGTAGCTATTCAATGACAAGGTAACAGGATAAAGCAAGCAGACTATATATAATAAAGGCAAGAAACTGCTACTACCCGATAAGACACATTTTAAACGTAATGACATAAAAAAGAAACTTTAGAGCCCTCAGATGGCACGTTCCTGACCAATGAATCATTAGTTTTTCATGTTCACAGTTCAGATAAGCTTAAAAATGGAAACAATAAGGCCTTAGAGCAAACAGCTTTGACATGGAGTTACTACAAAGCTTTTGAAATTCTACCTCTTACTTTGCAATGCCCCTACCCCCAACAGGAAAAGTGCTCCAGTGAAAAAGGGGGTAACTAGCCATCTGTGGGGTGACTGCCTCAGCTTTCCTTCCCCGTAACCCCACACCACCACCTCCTACTAGCTCTCCATTTTTAGGACATCCTTAGGAATAGAATGCCCCTTATCTGAACTTCTTCAGATCATGTTGGAAATCTTTCAAACAAACTTAAAATATGAGTTTTTTATATGAATAATTGACTCCTTTAAAGACAGAGAAGCGCTATTCATACTTATCCATTCAGAAAGATGTAAAAGAAAACTTGTGATAAACCATGAATAAGATATTTTTCCAATATACATAGAACAGAGATTATTATCAAAAGTATTAAACTGCATGCTGGACAATTATTTTCATATTTTATGTAATTAGATAATAAAAAATACACTTAGCTATGAATATAATTAAAAGGATGCCAAAGGTTTTACTTAGAATGTTTACATGAAAATCTAGTTTTTGGCTGTGCATGCACATACAAACAAAAAACATGTTCTTTAAAAAATATGTCCTTATTGTGCCTGATGTCTGTATGGCTGTGTAGGCACACGTGTGAAGGTCAGAAGACAACTTTGCAGAGCTGGTTTTCTCTTTCCACCTTTACGGGCTCTGGGGACCAAACTCAGGTCCTTCGGCTCATGTGTCAAGTGTTTTATCAACACTGAACCACACACCCAGCCCAAAAGATATGTGGCTCTTTTAAAAGAAAATTTAGTAATTTAAAGTTTGTTGAGTAACATCTACAAATTTTGGAAAAATGACAGACAATGTTGAGTTGTCTCATTTTCCTATACCTAGTTAGAAAATGTTACCTCTCTCAAAACAGGCTCATAGCAAAAGAGAAAACAAAAACAAAAGCTCACATGATGGTTTACCTTGTGCCTAGCACCCATCATAGACTTTTTTTTTTAAAGACAGGGTATCACTATGTAGCTCTATAACTCTAGCTGTTTTGGAACTTGCTATGTAGACCAGGCCGGCCTGACTGTGCCACCCAAGTACTAGGATTAAAGGTGTGCACTACCACATCCGGCTAGGTGACATTATGGACAATTTTTGCTTGTTCACCTTGAGTTCATATTCCAATCTAGGTTTCTAAACTGAGTCTTCAAATGAGGAAGAAGTTACAGTCAAGTGTATCCTGGAAACAGTATGCACCTTCAGATTCCAATCTTCAAGCCCAGGATGTGTGCTGAAGCAGCCATTAGAGATTATCAGTTACTATGCGACATCAGAAACACAGAGCCAAACCAAGGCTGTCAGTCTGAGCAGTACAATGAGGTTAGCTATCCCATCTTTCTCATGAACAGCGCTTCTCTGTAGGAAAAGCTCATCTCTGCATTAAGCCTACTCACATGAAAAACTGGGAACCATTGGTATGTTTCCCTCGATTTGCCATTGACAAAAGGAACGCTCTGTCATGTTTGAGAATAAAGTTTTCATCTGTTTGAAGAAAACACAAATTTGTTAGTCTCCAATTATAAGCAGCCTTTAAAGTAATGCTCAAGTACTAAATTGAAAGCAAAGGATGAAATTCCTCTTCTGGTCAGTAAGATATGTGGCAATATTTAGAAAAAAAAATTAACTAATCAAGTAACAAAAGCACAAAAAGGCCGACAAGATACTACTTCAAGCCTTGAGGAAAAGAATAGGTGTTTAACACTCAGTACAAACAGCCTTAGAACAGTCACCTCCGCAGGAACATGCCTGGCTAAATGACACATAAACTACTAACTCTCACGGAGCATCAGTCAGGATGTTTTTAGGAAAACATCTATAGTAAAATGTATTTCCTTCAAGTTTCCAATTAGCCTGACATATGAACTATATACATAGTTGAGTTTTAATAAGCCTAACCTTAAATGCTTAGCATTTGTATGGTAAATTTATTTTTCTACTGAAGTCAAGCTGGTCTATGAGAACAAAAATGTTACATATATTTAAGTTTTAGGGAAATATCAAATTAAGTATCAGAAGGATCACAAAATTACCTAAAGAAGAAAGTTGTATAAATCTAACATTTTAAAAGGTAAAATACAATTTTAAGATACAAAAGCATTTGCCACAGGGAACAGCCACATTAAGCGGCCCACAACATTAAGTGTAAGTTGCTACGTGCCATTAGAACAAGCTAGAAAGGGAAAAAATTCTGCCATCATCATCACTTACAGATGGCTTTAATTCAGTACAAGTATCTTTAAAACCAGATAGTGTGATATCATTCTGGAAACGCCTGATCTCCTCTACTATCAGAAGCTAAGCAGGATCAGGCCTGGTAAGTATTTGGGAGAAATATCTTTAAAACCAAATTTCTTTTTACATTCATACAAGCAAATCTTTCTTTAGAACAAACAGAAACACAAAACTTTAAAGAAAGGATTACCTTGGGGACAGGCTTCTGAAAAAGAGAAGTGATCCATTTCCCCCAAAGGAAATACAAAAGACCATTACACACTGCAGCTTTGCTATCACTAACGCCCAGCAATGCTGGAGCCCACTGTAAATCCCTGCAACTGACTTTTCTAAGGCTTTTTGGGGAAGTGCAATAGTTAGACTTATGAAATGTTACTACTATAGCAGTAAAATACAACCATAAAGTTCTAGTACACAAAAGAAAACATACAAACCTTTGAGAAAGGAAAAAATACCAACTTTTATTCAAAGAAATTGCTTGGTTTAGGTGTGGAAAAACCACAACTAGGTTCTTTTTTCCCTGATGTAGAACTAATAACCAATTGTAAAGGAACAAAGGCACAGATGTACATATGAAATCACAGATTTTTCCAAATCTTCAAACAATACAGAAATCCAGCCACAACCTGACCGGACTGTCCGTGGATTTATTAGGAGGGCACAAGGGAGCAGAGTGGAGTTTGTGTTACTGAGCTTCGTTCTCTTACCTTTTCATTTTGCAAAAGACCACATTCTCTATAAACAAAAGAATATGTTGACAGTTTTAGGCAGGAAGATAGGAGTTTTCATGTATAAAGTTGCCTAACCTCCATGCTGAAAGTCATGTTTAACCTTAAAGTTAGCCTTAATTAATCTTGTCAATTAAAAGTTATATATTACAATAATTTATCCCCAAACTCATGCAAATAAAGTATTTTCATGCAGCATTAGTTTCATGCAAAACGTGAACTACAAGTAAACCTCTTCTCAATAAAGTATGCGACCAAACTTGCTTTATATCAGAACTGAAACAAAAAACACAAAATACCAGACCTTACCTTTAAAGTATCCACCATAAATTGATTCTCCACCTTTTCCGTTACCTGAAAACAATGAGCCATAATGAAAACTTTAAATATTCAACACATGAAAATTAGTATCTTCTAAACATCTATTTAGTGTAGGTGCGTACACACAAGTGTATGTGTGCAACAGTGTGAATGTGTGTGTCAGGACAGCTGCAGGAGTCAGTTTTCCCCTTCCACCATAGGAGTCATCAGGCGTGGTCACAAGTGCCTTTACCTGCTAAGTACCTTGACAGTTCTATTTGCTTTTGATTTAAGACACAGTCTCAATATTGTAGGTCAAGGTGACCTCCTGAGTGTTGGGATTATAGGTACATGCCACCACATCCACCGCTATTATTATTACTGTAGTACTTGAGAGAAACCAGGGTCTGACATACACCAAGCAAGTGTTCTACCATTCAGCTACATTCCCAGCCCAATAAATTATTTTTGATGGCATCAATATCCTGAAGAAAATATTTTTGCCTTTAATTGCTCAAAAAACAAAACCCCCATGATTCTAGGTACATGCAATTAATTTAATCTTTAAAATATTATGATAAATACTATCAGAAAATGATCTTATTTCAAGCAGTAGTCACACTAAGAAATTTCTAGAATAGCTGTAATTGGGCAATACTATGGTATTCACTGGATGGTAAATCTATGAGATACAATGTTACTAAAATTAATTATATAAACAAAATAAAATGTCATAGTCTTTTACTTTTTCACAAATTCTAGATCTGTAACATCTCTTCATCCAACACTGATGCACTGAGGACACAATATTCACATCATTCTGAGACATGATATTCACTAAAAGCAATAATGAGATTCTTTACAGACTGATGAATGGATTTATTAGGAATACAACTTTTAGCTATACCTTCACTGAAGTCCCCACCCTGAATCATAAAGTTTTTAACCACACGGTGGAATGTAGAACCTTTATAACATAACTTCTTCCCAGTTGTTTTCCCAAGGCCTTTCTCTCCTGGGGGGGAAAAAGAATAAGTTTAGCTACAAACCCATCATTCCATAGGAATAACCAACAAGCTAAACTGTGGTCAAATCCCTCCCATGTGCTGACACCGTGAGAGATGACACACATGATGACACCATGTATACAGCAAACATACATAATGTACAAATCAAAATAAGTAACACAAAGCAGTATCAGTCTATGTTTTAAACTGATCCAGAAACAATTCTGTGTGCTACAAGACATAAGAATGGAGATGAATGAAATAAATTAGCTCAAATGTTGTGTCTCTTTGTGTTCAAATCAAAGTTTTAAAAATGAAGTTTGCTATTTATAATGTTTAACATTATCTCTCGTTTTTTTCTGCTTGGCTAGGGCATTGCAATGATGCATAATGAAAAGCAGTGTTACGTTTTATAATTTGAAGTGCTAAATGTATTAAGAATTGAAATTTGAATAAGATTTTTTCAAAATAATTTTGAAGATGTACTATTTGACAAATTAACACATAAAGATTGTATTACATGAAATAGAATCTTTTCATTTTAAAGATGATTTCTTTTTCCTCCTGTCCTCTCAAGAAATGTTTCCTTCATTTCATATGAAGTAATAATAACATTTTGGCTATAAAACTCACTTCACAGACAATTATATTTTTATGAAAGTTCCCCTTCCATAAAGCAGCCCAAGTAGCCAGGAGTCTTACTGAAAACAGGCTAAATCCTCACTCACCTGAGCACAGGCATAGGAAGTTTTTGCATGTTTTTGGACATATGTCTGAGAAGAGCTGAAACATAATTCGACCAACTGAAACAAAATATATGAGGGGAAAAAGAACAGTGAGCAAGCTAATACAAATATTTCACATAAGAACTATTGGGAAGTACCGTAATAATAGTAAGTCTCTTCCTTGTTTTTTGGCAACCAATCCCATACACAGTTAAGAGTTCTAGCACATATACTGTACAATTTGAAGTGTTTTTTTAACAGAGCCTTCTTGTACATTAGACCCTTTAATACAAAACTAATAAATCGTTTAAAAAAATATTTGTTTGGTCTTGTGAGGCTAAAGCTCAAACCCATGGCCTGCTAGATGCCCAGCAAGCACTCCACTGTTAAGCTACATACACTCCCAGCCCCCAGTATTCTTAATTAACAGTTGACCCAGTCAGTGATGGGCATATCCCTCCTTAAGAGTCTCTTCTGCTCAGCACAGTTAGAAGGAAAGCTCTTCCACGATGTCTGTGGAGCTTTCTTCTCTGAGCTGTTTGGAGCCAATCACCTAAACTGTACCCACCCTCAACACTCAATGCTCATGTTCCACTCCCTGGGAGCTAGGAGAGAAAAGGTTACTCAGAAGAACCAATATTGTCTGCAATAAACAACAATAAAAAGGAACACACTGTGCCTTGGAAAACAGTTCACAAATTCTGGTCTCCATATTCTTTTGAACTGTTTAAAATTCCTAAGCTGTTGCTTATGGGTTATGGGTCACACTTGTTAATTAGTATATATAAACCAAAACTCAGACATTGCTTTAACACAATGTCCAAGCACACATTTCATTAGTTCTCAGGTCAGTCAAGGGAGAGCTTCCTAAAAGTGCAAATCCTGCTTTAGTATTATCATAAAAAGCAGTTCCAAGGTAGAGGCACATGCCTTATCCCAGCATTTGGAAGGCAGAGGCAGGAGTATCTCTGTGTTCAAGGCTAGCCTGGTCTACGGAGTGAATCCCAGAACAACTAGGGCTACAAAGAGAAATCCTGTCTCAAAAAACAAAAACAAGCCAGGCTGGGGAGATGACTCAATAGACAAAATACCTGGATCACAAGTATGACGACCTAAAGTTGAATTCCTGGAACCCATGTAAAATGCCAGATGTAAACCCATACATACGTAGACACACACACACGCGCGCGCGCGCGTGCGCTAGCATAAACACATTAACCCAATCAGGCTCCTAATGCATGAGTGCATATTAAGCAAATGTTTTACCACTGAAATAGATGTCTAGCCTTCCATTTTGAATGAAACATGGACAAAGTATCAGAAAAAAAACCTGTCATAATTTTTAGCTATAAAGAGGTATAACTTGGCCAGGCAGTGGTAGTGCACACCTTTAATCCCAGCACTCAGGAGGCAAAAGGAGGGGAATCTTTGTGAATCTGAGGCCAACCTGATAAAAATTCGAGTTCCAGGACAGCCAGAGAAACTGTCTCAAAAAAACCACACAAAGAGAGAGAGGGAAGTATAATTTGAGTTAGTTTACTACAGAGCAAATCCTATATAAAAGCTGACCACTGTACAACGAAATATTAACCTGAAGTAAGATCATTTGTGAAACAAACTGTAGCTTTCAAGAAACAGCTTAATTGAATGGCATTATTTTATAGAAAACAGGGAATATTTGACACTTCCAGAGTTTAGAATTTGGAACAGGAGGCATTCTGAAGTTACAGTCTCTGATGGGAAGGAAGTAATATGCTTCAGTAGTTTATTTTCAGTGACAAACATAAGCTCTGGTCATGAAACAAACCAAAAAGAAAAAAAACAGGGCTCAGAGCAGGAGGGAAGGGAGGGACTGAGTAGGTGGTTCAGTGGAAGAGCACTGGTCAACATGCCTGATGCCCTAGGTATCAAAAGTAAAAAGTAAAAGATAAAACAAGGAATAAAAAGTAAACTTCATCAAAAAAAAAAAAAAGTAAACTTCATTCCTCAAGTTTTTATAAACACACACACACAAGACCAAAACCAGTAAACCTTGGTTCATTAGCCTTCAAGTCTAGCCTCTCTGCCAGTGCGCTCTTTACGCTTTTTGAGACACAGTCTCCGTTAAGTTGCTCAGGCTGGTCTCAAGGTTCAAACTCAATTTGTAGCTCAGGAGGGCCTTAAATTTACAAACTCCCAGGCCAGATTCTTAAGAAAACTAAAAGAGGAGCTGCTGAGAGGTCTCAGCAGGTCAATGTGCTTGTGAGAAAACTCTAAGGAAAAAAGATAACAGTCCTGTGACCTCAGTTCCTTCAAAAACAGGAACTGTTCTTGGAATGTGCGCCCGGGACCCTCCCAGGTGTGACAGACAAGAGTGAGCGCACTTTAGATTACTGATTACAACTGGCTATTGTTTGTTTATCTGCCTCCACGGAAAAAACATGTCTTTGTCATGAGTGGGTTGTTCTTGTGACTGCACACTTCACTCCTGTGACTCTTCTTAACCCTCAGAGTATAAACTGTCTGATGCTCTGAATAGAGCTGGCTATTGCATGAGACTTTAGCCCACCTCATTTTTAGGCCCCACTCTCCCAGGTTCACGCTGCCAGTAGAGCAGTAAACAACACATTTTCAATCAGGAGTAAGGGGAGCTATGACTAAGATCATGGCAGATAGTGCCTATGCACACAAATCAAACAAATTAGAGAAATGCATTAGTTTCTTTTTTTTTTTTTTTTTTTTTTTTTTTTTGGTTTTTCGAGACAGGGTTTCTCTGTGGTTTTGGAGCCTGTCCTGGAACTAGCTCTTGTAGACCAGGCTGGTCTCGAACTCACAGAGATCCGCCTGCCTCTGCCTCCCGAGTGCTGGGATTAAAGGCGTGCGCCACCACCGCCCGGCAATGCATTAGTTTCTTAAAAGCTACAAACCACCAATACTACGTCAATGAGTAACAGACGTGAATGAATACTCCTATACCTATCACAGAAATTAAAATCTTCACTAAGAACCTTAGTAACAAAAGAACAGTTACAAAATTAATTCCAAAAAGAATTACTTACTGAATTCATACAGAAAACCTATTATTCAATGTAAAGGTTTTCCTCTGTTAAATCTGTAAATTTGAAGTTTTATAATTCAAAAACTAATCTGTTTTGCATTTGTACTGGTGGTAATTGAAAATACTATGTTGTATATCTTGATTTCCGTATCACCTCTGGTTATCAAAGTAAATCAGGTACTGTATCGGTGATTCATAGAAGTGAACTTGGAGCCTTACACATGATAGGCGAGCACTCTCCCACTCAACCATATTCCTGTCTGATTCTTAATTCTTCATCCTTGGTCAGTAGTTAACCCAGGATCCAGATAACACAGGTTTTACTTGTTTTTAGAGTTAAAAACAAGCTGGGCACTGGTGGTGCATGCCTTTAATCCCAGCAGAGGCAAGCGGATCTCTGTGAAGTTGAGATCAACCTGGACTAGAGAGTGAATTCCAGGGTAGCCAGAACTGCACACACACACCAAAAAAAAAAAAAAAACTGATCATTCTAGGAAAATACTTCCAAGTATATTCCTAAGTAACTAATTATTGTTTTCTGAGTATGCTCACACATTGGGTATGCAAAGATCTGTGGAAAAAGTCTTCACAGTAAGTCTGGTAAATGCTGAATGAATTGCAAAAACAGTAAGGTTGGAATGTCAAACGGGAGAAACAAAACCTTTAGGATCACTTCATTTCTTTATTCAGAACCCTGCATCGTCTTCCTCAGTCATGGAGTCAGGGGTCTCCTTATTCTCTTCCCTCTATTCCAGCCACACTGGATTTTACTTTCCCTTAAAAACACAAGTACTGTCTCTGAACCTATGCAAACTGCTGTCCACTGCGAAGCAGTTCTCAAATACAGCCACAAGGCTCAGCTTCCCATCCTGAAAAGCCATTTTCTCACCACCTTACTGAACAGCACCACTAGGCGGACCGTGTTTTACCCTCTGTGTCTTCTTCCAACAGGATGCAAACGTAAGAACGGGAGCTCTGTTCTCACTGCTGTACCGAAGGGCAAGCCCAGGACGAGCTCTTCTAAGAAATCCACAATATAAAATGTGGCACACACAACACACTTCCAGTTAAAATTTCTGCAGTTTAGAACTCTTTAGCATAGCCGGGCGTGGTGGCACACGTTTGAAACCCTATTGCTCCGGAGGCAGCAGGAGGTGGATCTGAGTTCGAGGCCAGTCTGATCTACAGCGTGAGTTCCAGGACAGGCAGGGCTATACAGAAAAACCCTGTCTCGAAAAACAAAAGATCGCTGTGCCTGAAACAAGATATCGGGGAGGGGGTGTGTGTGTTTATATGTATGTATGTATGTATATGCTGTACACATGTATGTCTTATTTGTGCGTGTGTGTACACGTGCACGCATGTATGTGTAAATCTGTGCGTGTCTATGTGCATGCATGTGCATTAATGAATGGCTGAACACTATAGAATTCCTATGACAAAAACACACAGCTGCAGCGTATCCACGATGCAATTCAGGGACTACAGGACACACACGAGCCGTTCTGTCCCCTAAGTCACGAAATCCTGGGCGAAGACTCTCAAGGGAAACTGCGAGGCGGGTGCCCGGCTCGTGATCACGGCAACTTCGCAGCGCTGACCAGCCAGGCTGGACTCCGAGGGACACGCACCGCCGGGGCTGCGGGAGGCCGCCCGTCCGCTCCTCCCCGCTGCTCCCCCTCCCGGCCGGCCCCGCAGCGCACTCCGCCACCCGCGGCCGGCCCCAGCTCACCCGGTTCTCGGTTGATCTCGATGTCGAAGTGGCACTGCGGCCGGTCCTGGGCGCCCATCGCGAGCTCGGCGGCGGCGGCGGGAGCTGCGGACAGGGAGGAGGACGCTGAGGGCTGTGAGCGGGGCGGAGTCGGGCCCGCCCGACAGGGGCGCGGCCGCCGGGAGACCTCCCGCCCTCCCGCCCGCCCCGGCCCCGGCCGCGGCCTCCCGCACTCCCGTTGAACTCCTCACCTGGCCGCACAGCTCCGGGTCAGCGAAGGAGAACGCCCTGCCGGCGCCGCCGGAGCCCAACGTCACCAACGGAACGCCACCTCCTCAGGGCCGGGGCCAGCCACCCAGTGCCACGCCAAGGCTCGCGAGACTGGAGGTAAAGCTCGCGAGAGTCCCTCCGCGCCCCGCCCCTCCGAGCCAGCGGTCCAATCCCAAGCCCTCAGACGTGTGCCAGCTGTCAACCGCGGCTCGCCCGGCATCGCGAGAGTTCAGGTCGTCGGGCCGGAGAATGAAGGCGGTAGTGAAGTGGACGTGTCCGGAACCGACGTGGCACTTGGCTAGTTTTCTCCCTCCGTGGATAAATAAAACGGGTTCCAATAAATGTCCTTACGCTGTGTCTCGAGTTAAAAGACTCTCGAGTGCTGGGCGGTGGTGGCGCACGCCTTTAATCCCACAGTCGGGAGGCCGAGGCAAGCGGGTCTCTGTGAGTTCCAAGACAGCCAGGGCTATGTAGCGATAAGTAAATCAAAAAAGATAAATAAGTATATAAAAATAGAAAAGAGTGCTTTCTGTTCTTGTAGAAGACCTGGGTTCAGCTCCCAACACCCACATCAGGGGGCTCACAAATTCTGTAACAGTTCCAGGAGATTGATTCCCAGGTACACACATAAAAATGTGAAATAAAAAATATACAAACAAACCTTACCCTGTTTTGGAAGGTTCGTCCCCACCTTCGCTCCAACCTCAGAGGAACAGCTCTGTTTCTGTCCTTACTGGCCATTCTGCCTCTTCTGTCAAGTGTCACTTCCAGGATTTTGGAATCCTTGTCACAAACCTTTTAAATCTAACTCCTTGTCTATGAGATGTGAAGAGCTCAGGGTACAAATGCTTTGTTAGGAAGATAGATATGTGTAATTCTTGCTGGTTATGATGGCGAATACTTTCTCACAATCTTGGCCTTGGCATTTCATTGCTTTCGACTGTCTCCTGCCAAAGAATTTTTTCTTAATTCTTTTATCAACAAAAACAAAAATGTTATTTCCTAGAGCTGGAAGTTATTCATAGGAGTTTTATAATATTTTTGATAGTTTAAAAAATTATTTCTTTTATTTAGGGGACTACAATTTATACCGCATTCGACTTCTCTTTCCTCCCTCCAAGCTCTTCCATATAGCCTTTGCTCTCACCAAATCCATGGCTTCTTTTTTCATTAATTGCTGCTAAATATATGTATGTATATGAACGTACATATATATATCCTTACATACAGCCTGCTCAGTCCGTATGTTACTTGCATGTATGTTTTCAGGGCTGACCATTTGACATTGGATGACCACTTGGTTTAGTGTACTCTTCCCCGAGGAAGCCAATTTCTCCCATGCAGCATTCCTTGGTTGTCTGTAGCTCTTTGTGTGGGGCTGAGGACTCATAGGCTGTCTCCTGTCCAGTTTGGCATTCTGCTGTTGGCCCTGTTCAGCTGTCTAAGCAGTCTTGTTGGTGAGATCTATGGATGTAGCTTCTGACATTACTAGGAGACAATCACACAACAAACTCCCCGATTCTCTGTCTCTTAATCTGTCCTCTCTTGGGCAACATTCCCTGAGCATTAGGTGTGGGAGTTGTTTTGTAGGTATTCTGAGGTTGGACTCTCCATTTTGATGGGTGTGGTTTTCTGCCATAGTTTTGGCTTTCTTGGCAAGGGCTAAGGACTGCTTTATCAGGGCTAGACCCTGAAGGATGCCTCTGCCAGAGTTTATTATAGTGCTCAGTTGATCCTGGGTTTTGTTTCAGTTTGTGCTTCTGCATGCAGGAGTTCCTGGAGGCTGGGGATATAGCTCAATGGTAGAGGACTTGCTTAGAGTGTGTGGTGGACTGGGTTCCATTTACAACATGGAAGGGAGAAGAGAAGGAGGAGGGAGGACAGAGAAATGGGGAGAAGGAAAATGGATATATTGACTTCAAATTCATAAAAACTTTCTCCTGTTGTCATCTAGGAATTTAAGTTTCTCCTTTTATGTTTAAATTCAGTCTTCGGAGAACCATTAAAAATGGTGGTAAAGATGCCGAAGTGTAGCTCTTCAGAGCTGATGGCTTCTGGTGGAGGTGGGGAGGGACAATCTTCTTTAAGGGGCTGGCCGCTGGGATTTTGACCATGCTCTAGTGAGTATATGAGCAACACAAAATTGAACCTTTTTTTTCTTCTGTTTTGGGGACAATCACAAGGTTTAGGGATAGACCTGGGAGGGCTAGATGTGAATATGCTCAGAGTACATTATATGAAATTTCCAAATAATCAATAAAAATATTACATAATAAATAAATAGTCTTCATGTGTCGGGTACAGTGGGACTCAAATCTTGGAGGCCTGTGTTCCATGGCCATTTTTTGAAAGCTTTTCTTTTCTTTTTTTTTTAATATTTATTTATTTATTTATTTATTATGTATACAATATTCTATCTCTGTGTGTCTGCAGACCAGAAGAGGGCAGCAGATCTCGTTACAGATGGTTGTGAGCCACCATGTGGTTGCTGGGAATTGAACTCATGACCTTTGGAAGAACAGGCAATGCTCTTAACCACTGAGCCATCTCTCCAGCCCCTTTTGAAAGCTTTTCAACCTTAAGTACTTGGCTTTATGACGACATATGATTATAAGTGACACACCGCCATTCTTACAAAATTGTTTTATACAATTGTAAAAGCCTGTGTTATATTATTGTTACCATTTTTAAGTACAGTTCAGTGGTGCAGCCATATTCCCGTCTCCCTCCTCCCTTAACCCCTACTCTGGACACCTCTACATTATCAGTCTAGTGACTGCTAGTACCTCCTGTCTGTAGAATCATCCTATAATGGTCTGCTTTGGTTATCAACTTGCTTGCAACTGGAACCAACCAAAATCCAAACCGCTGGACACTCTGTTAAGGGATTTTTGATTGGATTATTCAAAAGAAGATTCATCCCAAATCTGAGTCATACTTTTCTTTTTCCAGATAAAAAGACCCAGAAGGAAACTTTGACTTTTGCTTGCTTTCACTGTCTCTGGCGAGTTCATCTGCCCTTTGCTGGTTGATATTAAACCAACTTATTTGGGATTCTAAGAGCAGCAGCTCCAGGAATCTTCCAGGCCTCCAGTGTATGATTGGGACTGATGAGATAGCCAACCTCTGGGGCTGAGCAACTAACAGATTTCAGTCTTTCCAACAAGAGAGGAAGCCAGTAAACTTGTCTTCCACAGCCTCTGTTTCAGTTCCTGCCCTCACTTCTCTTCGTGGTGGACTGGGACGTTTAAGGAAATAAACTCTTTCCTCCAAAAGCTGCTTTTGTCACGGTGTTCTATCACTTCAACAGAGAGCAGACTGATACATTTGGCATCTGACCTTCATGGCCGACTGTTCCACAGCACAAACGCAAAATACCTTTCAATTACATCTATGTTATAGATCAAGCTTTCAAATAGGAAGGGGTCAAACAAGAGTAATAGAAGTGAATAGGATCAAAATACATTATGTGTAACTATGAAAATGCGATTGCTCTGTGAGTTCGAAGCCAGCCTGGTCTACAGAGAGTTCCAGGACAGCAGACAATAGAGAGAAACCCTGTCTTAAAAACCAAACAACAACAAAAAAGTCATTGTTAAACCTATTTTTTATATGCTAACAAATACATTTTCCCTTTTTCAGGATCTCATGTGGCCTAGGTTGACCTCGACCTCCTGCCTCTATCTCCCAGATGTGCCTAGTGCTGGCTATTAAATTATTATTATTACTATTATTTGCTTCTCAGCTCTGAATGCACCCTTTGCTTGATTCTCTTTGATGTGTAATTCAGCCTTAAGCAGGGATTTTTGCTTCAACCTCTCTCCCTGAAAAGAAACTTGGGCATTTTTTATAGTGTAGATTTGAAATAGTGTGAAAACAGGGCTGTAAGACAGCCTCAGCTGATGTGGGATATATCACAAAGAGAAGTGAACGTCACTGTTGTGGGATACTTGTATACTGCGTGAAGGTATATTGCTGTGATTGGCGTAATAAAGAGCTGAACAGGGGGCTGGAGAGATGGCACAGTGGTTAAGAGCATTGCCTGCTCTTCCAAAGGTCCTGAGTTCAATTCCCAGTAACCACATGGTGGCTCACAACCATCTGTAAAGAGGTCTGGCGCCCTCTTCTGGCCTTCAGGCATATACACAGACAGAATATTGTCTACATAATAAATAAATAAATAAATATTTAAAAAAAAATTAAAGAGCCTCACAGTTAATAGCTGGGCAGGAGGAAGAGGCAGGACTTTCCGGAGGAGAGGAGGAAGTGGGATGAAGTGCAGATGAGATGCCAGGGGACATGGAAGCAGGGTGGGAAGCGTGTGACAGAGCGAGGATTAATAGAAATGTATTAATTTAAGTTAACAGAGCTAGCAAGACCAAGGTTTCATAACTAACAAGTCTCTGTGTCGTTGTCTGAGAGCTGGCTGGTGGGACAGAGAAAGACTGGTTATCATTGGATACCAGAGAATTAAGAAGCACTATTGATTTTGTTGACCGTGACAAGGGCACTGTTGCCACATTGCCTCCATTCCGTTTTACTGTGGGATCTGTTTTATTACTAAAATATGTACACTAAGATATAGAGGGTTAGTAGCAGCTTTCTTCAGAGTCCAAACGAATCACAGCCTTTTTGCCCGCGTCTCTATTTCACAGAAGATGTGTCCCCTTTAGTCAGTCCTGGCAACAGCCTCCTGGAGTTACTCCACTGCCTTCGTGAGGCTGCTTGTGTTGGCATCTGCGATGGTAGCTAGGTAAATGAGATTTCTGTGCAACACGTGCTGGTACCTGTGAGTGAAAGACAAGGATTAGAGGCTCGTGTTTACTCACCATACCAGCTAGAAGAGAACTGGCTCACTGTGCTGGAATGGTATTCCCCTGAATGACACAGGTCATAAACCCTCTTTTTATTATTTATTTATTTTGCTTTTGACCTACCTGCCTCTGCCTTCCCAAGTGCATCAACACACCTTGTTATTGGTTGTTTTTTATTCTTTACTATTTTGGGCTCTCTTGGGGGGTGCCTACCACCCAGCTTCCAAATAATCATACATGGAGGCTTATTCTTAGTTACAAATGCCCAGCCTTAGCTTGACTTGTTTCTTGCCAGCTTTTCTTAACTAATTATCCCACCTATCATTGGCCTTGGGGTTTTTATCTTTCTCTATTCCTGTACATCTTTTCTTTCCTTCTTACTCCCTGTCTGGCTGTGCAGCTAGCTGGGTGGCTGGCCCCTGACGTCCTCCTCTTCTTGTTTTATCTTGCTCCTTCTTCCTTTCCTCTAAGATTTCTCCTTCTATATTTATCTTCTCTGCCTGCCAGCCCACCTATCCTCTCTCCTGCCTCGCTATTGACCGTTCAGCTCTTTATTAGACCATCAGGAGTTTTAGACAAGTAACACCACAGCTTCATAGAGTTAAACAAATGCAACATAAACAAAAGTAACACACCTTAATATTCCCCAACAACACCTCACTTCAGCAGACTTCTTATTTTCCTTAGACTCTCATCCATTCTCCTTTCACTCACACAGATGCCCTCTACTTCAACTAACCATGACTTCTTTGTTGGGACTACAATAGCAGTTTCCTCAGCCCATGGCCTACCTGTCCTGGAACTCGCTCTGTAGACCACACTGCCTCTGCCTCCCGAGTGCTGGGATTAAAGGTGTGCACTACCACCGCCCGGCTGAAACCCTGCTGTATTCCCCAGAGTTGGAGGGATGACAGCACAATTCCATAACTGTTCTAAACCCCCCTAAAGATGCCATCTCCTTCCTACGAGGTCTTAGGTGATGGGTCTCTCCAGTTACTTCTGTGTGCTCATTTCCTATGGCCTTCCCTTTGCTAACTTCTGAGCCCAGGGTCTCCTAGACATGCCCTGTGGTTATTCAGTACCTTTACCCTCCCTTACTTACCTCTGGGGCTCAGGTTTTCACCCAATGCTACCTTATTAGAGACACTCTGCACCCCCCTCCCCACTTACCCTGTTTGATTTTTGTGCTGCTGGAAATTGAACTCTGAATCTCCTGTGCAGACAGGCAAGATGCTCTATCAGACCCCTGCTTTATCCCATCAAAGCACTTATGATTACATGTCTTCCCTCTGGATTCTATGTGTGTTTTGCCTGCCTGCATGTATGTATGGGTACCACGTACATGCCTGGTGCCCAGGGCATCAAATCCCCTGACTATAGTTACAGATGGTTGTGAGCCACTACTACTGGGAATTGAACCTGGGTCCTCTGCAAGAGCAACAAGTGCGCTTAACCTCTGAGCCAACTTTCCATCCCTTCCTTTGGACTCAAGACTCTAGAATGTCAGCTCCACAAGAGATTTGGAATCTTTTGTGCTTCTTATTCCCCAGTACAGCAAACAACAATTCCAAGTCTGTTGTACACCCAACACTTGGGAGGCAGAGGCAGGTGAATCTGAGTTCAATGTCAGCCTGTCCTATAGAGCAACCTCATAGAGAAACCTTGGAGAGAGAGAGAGAGAGAGAGAGAGAGAGAGGGAGAGAGGAGCCCCTTCCATGATCAAGGGGAGCATATGACTGCAGCAATTCTCAACTGCTTGCCATTCAGGAAGAATTATCAGACTTGGGAAGTGCAACCTCCACAATGTGAAAAAGCAGGATAGGAGATTTGTAGGGCTTTCCTACCACTGCACAAGAGTCAATGTAGGAAAGAAAAATGTGCGGCTGGCAGGCATTTTCTAAACATGAGAACGTGTAAAACTGTAAAACAGCAAACCACCAAATGTTGGAGTCAAACATAAATACCTCAAAATGGAAATTCTGCTGTCCCACTGAGGTATTTAGAGAGGGTTGCAGGTGGCTAATTCTTGGACCAAATTTAGAAAAGGGTCCCATTCTGATACACCATAGAAAGCACATTAATTCTATCTTGAATAACTTTTGTTTTGTTTTGTTTTTTCAAGACAGGGTTTCTCTGTAGCTTTGGAACCTGTCCTGGAACTAGCTATTGTAGACCAGGCTGGCCTCGAACTCACAGAGATCCGTCTGCCTCTGCCTCCTGGGCGCTGGGATTAAAGGTGTGCGCCACCACCGCCCGGATTGGATTAACCTTTAGTTTAATTTGGAAATCCCTTTGTTGTCCATGTGTATCTCTCACAGACTGACTTCTAGTTAATCAAATGCTCTGACTTATTATTGGGAATGGACATGAAATCCACGAATCAAGAGACCACGGTACTTATCTGAGCCTAGCTTTCGGATGCTTCCCTGTCATCAGTCGGCAGGGCTTATGTGAAAGCCTGAATAAATCCAGGTTCTACCATAAACTATCTCTGTGGTCTTGAGTAGCGAGTAAATAATAAATAACCTAAAGATGGCAGGGGACACAGAGTCTGGCTATGTAGTCTTAGCTCGCCTTACTCTTGTGGCCATCCTCACGCTGCAGCCTAACAGGAACTACGACAGTAGGCATGCAGCGTCACCGAGGCGAAGTAACCTCTTCCGCACCTCCCTTTTCTCACAGGCGATCCATCACCCAGACTGCCGCACGTCCCCTGTGCACTTACTGGACGCACTCGTTCGCTCGGCCCTTGTTCTGATACTCCACGATACAGCGGATCAGCTGGTCATTCTCCTCCAGGAGCTGAAAGGCGGGCGAAGTGTAGGGTGCCATCAGGTGGGGGCCCCCGAGCAGGCGCCGATCTGACCCAGCTCCCATCCCTACCCCGCATCCAGGCTGTCCCCACCGCGGTCCGGCCCCTGCAGGAAACGCCAGCACCAGGACCCCTCCTCGGGGACGCTCACCCGCTGGATGGTCTCCTGGTTGACCTTAGCCTTGCCGCGGAGCCAGTCAGGGGCGAAGATGACCGACATGCTGCGAGTAAGCTCGGAATCCCGAGAAGGGAGCAGCACCGTCGCGAGCTGCTGACGAGCGTGCTACTGACGCGAAACTGACGCTGCGGGGTCCGTCCCCGCCCCAGGAAGGCGGGGCAAGAAAAATAATAATTCGATGTGGGGCGGGGCTTTGCTCATGATTGGACACACAAACTGTGACGCTACTCTGAGGGCGGGACTTAGCTGGTGATTGATAGCCACGGACTGACCCGCCTCTCCAGCAGCCTGCCTCCAAGGACCTTTCTGAAGAAACTCAGAAAGAAACACAGTTCAGATCAAACCAGAAAGTCTGACATTAATTTTCAAGTATTTGGAAAATACTTGAATGAGCCTAGATTCTCTCTGGACAAGAAGAGATTGCGTATTAGGGGCCAGTGTTAAGAAACTTATCTGCTCTTACAGAGGACAAGATTCCAAGCACCTCTGTAACTTCGGCTCTACGAAATCTAACGCTCTCTTGTGGCCTGCCTGGGCACCCACACACACGTGGCAGATACCCATGAACTGTACTAATTGCTTGTTGCAACCCTAAAAGATACTAGTATTTTCTCCATTTTACAGATCAAAAAATAGATGCATTTTATCGAATCCTCCTGGTCAAATGACCGTCAGACTCTGAGCCTGGGCAATGTGGCTCTAAACTTCATTTAGTGTGAAGATATCGAGGGACTTCGAAGAGCTTCGTTTCTCTGCCCTATAACAGGTCCTCCCCATCCCTCCCGCCCACTCCCAACCCCCTTCAGGCTTGTAAAGCATCAGCTTCCACCACATTTCCCAGCATGGGGATTCAATGAGAGAAGTTGGGGTGACCTGCCTGAGTGGAGTCAGGACTCTGGTCTCCTTGCTTCTCAAGTTCCCTCATCAGGTTCTCTCCCCTTAGGAATCTCCCAGAGATCCTGTAGAAGACAGCATGGGCAAAAGTAGAGCCATGAATAGCAGGATGGAGACCTTGCTTAACGCCACTCTTCCCTCAACCGTTCTGTGAAGACAGTGGAGGAATGACTTTAGCAGGAGATAGTGTTGAGGAGGGGCAGGCGCAGGAGAGGACACTGGTCCAGCCATTGAGAACATGTGTGTGAAGATGGTCAGATTACAGAGGTGATAGGACTCAGCTCTGAACTCGGCATCTGCTGGGTGGCATCAAGGACCTGGCTGAGGTTGGCAATGTGTGGAGCACAGCTCCGTGCAGCAGAACTTACGGTCCAGGAGATTGATGGTAGGTGGGTCAGAAGGATGCCCTTGCACGGCTGTCAGTGCGTCAGAGAGAGTGTGATACGTGTGATCGCCCCGGGACTCCCAACTTATGTGGAAGGAAGTTAAAGGTGATTAATGAACAGAACAAAGGAGAGGGACACTGGACTAGAGATTTCCCCAGAACAGTTCGAGAGGGAGGCAGAAGTTCTGGAGGAGAAGACAGATATCAAATGTCTAAAGTTATAACTAACTAGTCATGGAAGCTGTCTGTGGAGATGCAGAGATTGTGGGGGTGGAAAAGCCAAAGAGGCTGGGAATGGAAAGCCTTTGAAGATGAAGTGGCCATGAGTGGTCATTGACGGGAGATGAGGGCTGGGATTATGGGTAGCTCATCTTCCCCACTTCCCCATCCATTCTCCGGTAGTGCCTGAGACTCACCAGGTGCATCAGACGGAAGGAACACTCTCCAGATCACTCGCGTCTCAAATTCTAATATCCCAAGGCTCCATCCACATTTGAAAAGATCTTATTTTGTTTATTTGATTTTTGTTAAGACAGTGTCTCAGGTAGCCCAGGTCGGCTTCAATCTTACCAGGGAAGACTGTGAGCTTGATTCCCTAGAGGGCTGGCTCTGCGGGAGTTTACGTGGCACTAGGGGTAGAGCCCAAGACTTCAGGCATGCATTCCAGGCAGACGCTCTCCCACGAGCCACACTCCAGCTTGGATTTTTCTACCTTTGGTATTTGTTTTTGTTTTTCAAAACAAGGTTTCTCTGTCTAACAGAGCCCTGGTTGTCCTTTAACTCACTCTGTAGACCAGGCTGGCCTTGAACTCACAGATATGCCTGCCTCCACATCCCAAGTGCTGGAATTAAAGGCACCCACCACCATGCCCTTTCTACTTTTATTTTTTTAAAAGCCAGGTGGTGGTGGTGCATGCCTTTAATCCCAGCACTTGGAAGGCAGAAACAGGTGGATCCCATGAGTTCGAGGCCAGCCTGGTCTACAGAGTGAGTTCCAGGACAGTCTCCAACGTTACAGAGAAACCCTGTCTTGAAAAGCAAAATGAATAAATAAATAAATAAAACAACCAAACAACTCGTTTTTTAAAGATTTATTTTCTATGTATGAATGCTTTGCCTGCATATGTGCAGGTGCACCACGTGCCTGTCTGGATATGTGTACACACACCATGATTTAGGAACTGGTTGGTGGTCCAGAAGAAAGCTTGATACATTTGGTGTTCCAACGTGGGGCCTGAATTTCCACATAGGGCCTGAGAAAGTTGGAAAAAAAAAAAAGAAAAGAAAATGGTCAAGGCTCCTTTAAGAGGCTCTGCTGTACAGGAAGCACTTGAGTAGATAGGTAGAGACAAAAAGCTAAGTAAAAAACCAACTTCCGGGATTGGGGTGGGTGGTAGGGAGTGGGTTTGGATTTGAATGCAGCTCCCAGTTAGATGCAGCTCTCAGTAGAAGGAATCTCTTGGCCAGGCCCTCAAGGCCTAAAGCCTGGCTTCCTGGACCCAAGTGGGCACGGAGCCAGCCGCCAATGCAAAGCTGCTTAGCAGTTTAAGGTTTGGCTCACAAGGTCAGGAAAGGCTAGAGACAGGCAATAAGTCAGATTCAGATAGGCAAAAGGATACAGTGTGTTTAAAAATGTACATTGGCTTAAGAAAGAAAAAGTGAGTATAAACAGTAATGGGAAAAATAGTTTAAAACAGTAAAGTCTTTAAAGAGAGAGTGAAGTAATATAAAGTCTTTAAAGAGAGTGAATATAAAGTCCTTAAAGAGAGAGTGACGTAATATAAAGTCTTTAAGGAGAGAGTGATGTAATATAAAGTCTTTAAAGAGAGATGAAAGTAATATAAAGAGGAAAGGCCCACAAAGAAGGAAAATACACAGGGAGGTGGATCCCGCATGGTGTTGTGTTGACTTTGGATCTTTTGAATGTTCATGAGTGAATGACAGCCGCTGAGAGACATTTGATTGTACAAGGGACAGCTAAGGTAAACCAGCCTAGATACTTTAGGAATGTCTTAACTTTAAAATGGAAGTCAGAGAATGTATGGTGATAGGGGAGAGGTTATGCTTTTGTTTTCACAGGAAATGAAAGGTTGTGGATTCCTTCGAGGTTTAATAGAGATCAGATTTGATTGGGGGAAACTTCCTGAAAATCTTGGCTATAGACATGAAGAAATAAACCAAGAAAGACTATAAGACAGGTGTCAGATATTCTGGTCCCTCTACTATGGGAACAGTTCTGAGACTGCAATGAATGTTACTATTAGTTTTCCTAGGACTTGACCATTATCTCAATTTTCTCAAGGTTTGCTACAAACGTCATTGCCCTCAGACAGCAGGAAGCAGTCTGGAGAATGCAATACCCACATTCCCAAGAGGCAGGGTGTGTAGTTTTTGGTCATTTGGTAGCTTATAGATGTTTGTCATCATTGGGGGGGGCATATAGATATACAGGTTAAAAAAACAACCATTAACCTCAAATATTTTTCATTGGTGTGGATTTTGGTATATTGATACAAATTTATTTTTTTATATTGTGTGTATGTTTCTACTCTTGTATGGGGTATTGTGCTTATGCATGCAGCTCATTGAAAAATGAAATGTATAACTAAGAAAGGCAGGTTAGTAGTTAGTCATCTATAATAATTAAGCTTGCAGTCATATTAGTGTGTTTTCTAGGTTAAACAGATGTATTTTAGATAGATACATGTGCTCCAAATGCTTTAGAAACCCATAGAACATGACATTTAAGATGCTTAATAACCTAAGGCTTCTCATGACTGTGAGACACGTCTGCTCCCAGCAGCACCAATCAACTTCATAAAAGGATGACGGATATTGAAGAACCTCCATATGGAGTTCACTTTCATTTTGGCAAAGCTAGCCATTTGGGCAAGAAACTGCCCTTGTCTTCCTGCTGACAGTATGTTGTTCAGACTGGACAAGCAGGACACAAAGGGAAGTGACTGCTAAACTTTGCCAAGACAAAGTGGGACAGCCCTTCAAAATTCCTGCTTCATAGAAAAGTCTGCCCAATATCTAGGCCTGAAGGTGAAGGCGAAGGCGTAACGCCACTCTGTTGTAATAGGAGCAGCGGGCTGTGTCCTGCCACCTGGCTAGCTTTACCCGAAATAATTACACGGAAACTGTATTCTTTTAAACACTGCTTGGCCCATTAGTTCCAGCCTCTTATTGGTTAGCTCTTACATATTGATCTAACCCATTTCTAATATTCTGTATAGCCCACGAGGTGGCTTACCAGGGAAGATCTTAACCTGCGGCTGTCTGGAGTGGGAAAATCATGGCGACTCACTGACTCAGCTTCTGTCTCCCAGCATTCTGTTCTGTTTACTCCACCCACCTAAGGGTTGGCCTATCAAATGGGCCTAGGCAGTTTCTTTATTAATTAACCAATGAAAGCGACAGATTAGAAAGAAATAACTCCCACATCATGAAGGCCAACGACGGATGGCCCAGCATTGGAGGGGAAGCTTGGGTGACTGTCCAGGCAATGAGATGTTTCTGACCTTTCTACAGTTTGGGAAGATATTTGCTCTGCACTTCCTGTTTACTCAGGTAATGTTACAGCCTTCTGGGATCTTTGATGGAGTTGAAGACTAGATAGTTATAGTTACAATTTTCTTTAGTTATGATAGAAGGTAAATTAGGTACAGAACTTTGGACTCAATCAAGATAGGTTGGATAATAAAGTGATTTCTCTGAATTTGCTAAATAAAAATGAACTGGATATTGTAAATGTAATTCTTACTTGATAATTACTCCTATTGTATATAGTCTTACTATGTTAAAGTTAAAATCTTTCTTTTTATTTAGACAAAAGGGGGAAATATTGTGGAATATTACTTTAACTAGGCAAAGATCTATAACATTTGTTTCTGCTGTATTTGTTTCACTATGTAAAGATGTGTTTCTGTTTCACCTTGCCTGCCTAAGGCACCTGATTGGTCTAATAAAAAGCTGAAAGGCCAATAGCTAGGCAGTAGAGGGATAGGAGGGGCTGTGGACAGAGAGAATAAATAAGAGGGGGAATTTAGGCTCAAGAGAGGGAGAGGAAAGAGAAAGAGAGGAAGATACCCGGGGCCGGCCACACAGAGTAGGAAAAACAGGATGAAAGCCCTGAGGCAAAACGTAGGTGAAGAGAAACAGGTTGAAATCAGTTATAAGAGCTAGTGGGACAAGCATTAGATAAGACTGAGCATTCATAACTAATAAGTCTCTGTACCAGGTTGATTTCTGTGGTTTGAGGCCAGCCTGGTCTACAAAGCGAGTTCCAGGACAGCCTGGACTGTTACACATAGAAACCCCGTCTTGAAAAACCAAAATGAAGAAAACAAATTGTCTGTGTTATGATTTGGGAACTGGTTGGTAGCCCAAAAGAAAGCTTGCTACTGTGGGTAGCTGGGAGTCAAGTCCAGGTCCTCCTCAGGGGTAATACGTGCTCTAAACTCCTGAGCCAACTCTTCAACCCCACTGTTGGATTTTTTTTAAAGCTAGGGTCTCAGATTGTGGTCGAGTTGGCCTAGAATTCACTATTTCCCCATGGCTAGACTCAAACTCATGACAATGCTTCTGTGCCAGCCTCCCGAATACAGACAATATAGGTGTGAGCCACTACACTGGCTAAATCCAGAATCTTAGAGGCTGAGCATCAAAATTTCTCCATCTAGACAAAGCTCACAGCGGACAGGGCACCGGCCTCCTTTCTCTAACAGTTTTCCTGCGAGACTGCTATGACCTAGGCTTGCTGACACTTGTTACAGACCAGCTTTGACTCAGTGTGGGAGGGATTATGGCAGGACTCAAATACCAGGAATGCCCAGAGGCTATCTTAGACTACCACAAGCCTTCTTGTGTTCATTTTGTAATTTGTCTGGGGTTACAGTAAGCCCAGTTTCCATTTCCACCCACAAGAAAAATGCCTTTTAGAAGTCTTCACTCAGCGCGGCTCTCTCCACGCAACTGCAACCTGTCTATCCAGCCGCTTGCTGAGTTTGTACCTGCATTAGGCTTCCCCGCAAAGGCAGAACTATTAAGGCTGTTTCTGTCTATATGAGGATTTATCAGGAGAATGCACTCTTGCGGTGATGGAGTCTGAGAACCAGGGGAGCCACTTCGGGGGTTCATTGTCTTGCACCTGGCCTCGGAATCAGGAAAGCTGGGACTGGGGATGTGGCCCAGTGAATAGAACTCTTGTCTAGCAGGCAGGAAACCCTGCGTTTGAGCTCCAGCGTCACGCATCTGTAGTCCCAGCACACAGAAAATGGATGCAGGAGGTTCAAGTTCAGAGTCACCCTCCGACACATACTGAGTTCAAGGTCAGCTTGGTGAGTTCAAGGGCATCTTGGGGTACGTCAAACTCTGTCTCATAAAATAAAACTGAAGTATCAGTGAAGCCGATGGTAAAACAGCAAGAAGCTGAGGTACTGGGAACCAGGAACTGAGGAGTCACTGATGCAAGGTCTAAGACCAAAACGCAGCAGAGCTTGGAGTTCTGATGCCAAGGACAAGAGAGAAGGCAGGGCTGATCCAGGGATTTGTAGTTCAAGCATTCAATCAACAGAGCTACACCGCAGCTATGTGGAGTACTGTGCACAAGCGAATGTCTCTGAAACACACCAGCTCTCCTTTGCTCATCGGGCTGCTGTTAGGGTTTTTGCTACTCGGGGAAGCTTTCCTTGAGCCGCCAAGTCCAAGCCAAAAGCTCCTGTAAATTATCTTGAGAAGCAAGACTAGTGTTTAGACCCCGCTTTCCCACCTGGTGCTCGACCCCCTCCCCTCCCCTCCCCTCCTCTCCCCTCCCCTCCCCTCTCTGGAGCCAGGAGTGCCTTGCTGTGTTCACCCTGACTGGCATACACGGCGGTGCTCAGCACGTGTCAAAACAGGTGGGGTCTAACTCTGATACCCTATTCCCCCCCCCCCCCTCCAGCCTCACAGCGAGGGTGTGTCGCTCGGGGATCGGACTTTGGCACCTCCTCCAGGCTGGCAGGAGGCCGTGCTCTTCGGATCCCCTATCTCGGGCCTCTTGCCCAACCGCGCGGCCTGCAAGAACCCACGCCCAGGGAGTGTCACTCCAATCGGCGAGGACCTGGACGTCTCTGGAGAACAGTCCTGTCCGCTCCGGGCCAGGAATCGAGGGGACATCGGAGTCTCTTCACACGACTCGAGGTGAGACTCGCGCGTGGGCCTCCAGCCCAGCAGGCAAGACGCGCGCGGGTCGTGGGGGAGCAAGCGGGTGCCAGCCCTTTAAGATTTACGCAATTCCGAAGTCTCAACAACCCGACTGCGGAGACGCGCCACGATTGGTCTGTTTGGGTGTGACCGTCGCTTAGCAGCAGCGAATGAGAATTCAAGTCGTGCGCACGCGTACCGCATCCTATCTCCTGCAGCCCGGCCGCCGGTGACCTGCACCCGGCCGGGTGGGCTGCGGTGGCCGAGGCGGAGGTCGGCCGCGGGGCGAGGTGAGGCTGGCGGGACCAGAGGGCGTGGAGAGGCGGGGCCGGGGCTCAGGCCTCCAGGCTGCAGCTCGGGGCCGTGGGAGTCGCTGAGGCCGGGCCCCCTGCACCGCGCGTGCCTGCTGGGATGCGCAGCCCGCTGTGCCTGCTGCCCGGGGCAGGGCCGGGGCGTGTCTCGGGAGGGGCGGGGCGGCGGTTCTCCTTCGGCAAGCTGAGCTCTGGCCCTGGCTCTGGCTTTTGATAGCAAAGTTTCCTTAGCGGGTTGGTCTTGCAGGACTTGGTTTCTTCGAGGCCTGGTCACCCCTGCACTAACTTTCCTGGACTTGGACGCTATCCCCAGGACAAAGAACCTACAGAGCAGGGCGGGCGTCAAGCTTGCACAAAGCCAAAGCCGCGGAAGGAAGAGTGTTGCCACTGATGAAAGGAGTTGGTCCAGTTTGTGGCTTTGTGAGACAGGGTTCCCTGTAACCCGAGTTTGGCCTTGATCTTGAGATCCTTCTGCCTCCAGCTTCCAAGTTCTGGGGTCACAGGTGTGTGACTCCCACGCCCAACTCAGTTGGTGTAATTGGTGATAAGATCAGGAAAACAAAAGCAGCATGCAGAACAGACCCAATGGGCAGGGCCTGTCTGTGAAAGTCTGCAGAAAGTTCCTCCAGGTGAAGAACACTTTAGGGAAATGAAGTGGCGACGGCTTTAAGTCTGACTCTGATAAGCAGGTTCCGTTGCACCGCAGCTTCCTCAGGAACGGTTGTACCACTTAATGTAAATGCTACTTAATGTTTTACGGGCAACAGAGAGAACATCTTGAGGTCCCGTAAAGAAATTCAGATCAAGCCGAGTGGTGGTGGTGTACACATTTAATCCCAGCATTCTGGAGGCAGAGGCAGGTGGATCTCTGTGAGTTCGAGGCCAGCCTGGTCTACAGAGCGAGTTCCACGACAGCCAGGGTTACACAGAGAAACCCTGTCTCCAAAACCCAAAACAAACATATTTTCAGTTCCCTTAAAGATGACTTAGTTGACCTCTTTGTCCCTCTTACCCCATCCCCAAGCAACGTGGAGCCTAGAGGATCCCACATTAAGTAATCTGGTCTCAGATCCTGTGGCCGAGCGTGAATCCATCACGGGTTCACGGTTCCTTTAGCATGCCTCCCTCAGAAGTGTGCCTATGGTGGGTGCTTAGGCTTGACTAAGTGTTTGTGTGCTAAACTTGGCTTGTTTTGCCAGTTTGTATTTTGCACCCCCTGTGCCAGCATGTTAGGGGGACTTGGGGGACGGTAAAGAGTAAACCGGAGAGGAAGTGACAGTGAAGATGGCTTCCTGTGTAGGCCGGGTCTGTGGGTAGAGCAGGGAGAACCTGATGCTTGACAGTTGCCAACAGGTTTCTTTGTGTAGCCCTGGCTGTCCTGGAACTCAGACCCACCTGCCTCTACCTCCTGAGTGTTGGGATTAAAGGCGTGCACCACCACCACACCCGGTTTATTGCTCCCTTTTTTATCTAACGGTGTGTTGTGGAGTGAGTGCCCTGTAGCGTGTTTAGCCGTTACTGTCTGCAGGCCATCTTCAGTTCTAGTTCTCTGTCAGGGCAAACAAAGCTTTACCTAGTGCTGTATAGTTCTCCTTCCCCTCCTCTGGGTTAAGTTCTAAGAGTGGCATTGTAGTAATTTGTCATTTCTTTTTTTAACTTAATTACATTGGTTCCTATTTTATTCTGTTCTTCCTTCTGCCTGGACTTTTTTTTGTTGTTGTTGTTGTTTTTCAAGACTGGGTTTCTCAGTAGCTTTGGATCCTATCCTGGAACTCACTCTTGTAGACCAGGTTGGCCTTGAGCTAACAGAGATCTGTTTGCCTCTGCCTCCTGAGTACTGGGATTAAAGGTGTGCGCCACCACCACCGGCCTGCCTGTGCTTTTTTAAAATTTATTTTTAATTTTAATTTTTTAAGGTAGTGTTCAACTGTATATCTATCCATGGATATCTTGAAACTTGCTTTGTAAACCAGGATGGCCTTGAACTCACAGAGATACTCTTGTCCCTGAGTGATGAAATTAAAAGTGTAAGCTACCATGCCTGTATGATTTTTAATCTATACTATTTCTGTGTTTATCCTTTATGGCTTTTTCCCTCTAGTTGAGCTATGAACAGGCATTTACCAATGTGTGTGTGCGTGTGTGTGTGTATTTAGAGAGAGAGGAGAGAGAGAGAAATTGTCACAGTCGCCTGATAAAAGTCTTTTATTATTATTATTTTTTAAACATTTATTTATTTACTATGTATACAATATTCTGTCTGTGTGTATGCCTGAAGGCCAGAAGAGGGCACCAGACCTCATTACAGATGGTTGTGAGCCACCATGTGGTTGCTGGGAATTGAACTCAGGACCCTTGGAAGAGCAGTCAATGCTCTTAACCGCTGAGCCACCTCTCCAGTCTTTTATTATTTCAAGTTAAGTGTAGAAACTTTGCTGTAGCTCTGGGTTTGAACCTGGGTCCTCTGTTGGAGCAGCCAGTGCTCTAACCACAAGACATCTCTCCGGCCTCCAGACTAGCTTTTAGTGCAAGGCTCTCCTGGCTTTCCTGATTCTGATTAAGTTAAGGAAGCAGGTTTTGTTGTAGTGGTGATGGGATCGTGTTACCTGTGCTCTCTCCTCAGGGGCTGCTCTGAGTTGCTGGTTCCTCCGCCACCAGGTCTGAGATGAGGGTCCCATGACCCTGCCTTTGGCTTCCTTGCCTCCCTTTTAACCTCTTTATGACTGTCGTACAGCTGAGGCCCGGGGTTTTATTTGCGCTTAGTAGGGCCTGGGAAAGCCCTACCCTGCACTTCCAGGAGCAGTCCAGCCACATCTCCCCTTGATCTCGCCTTTTCTATTCTGAGTTTGGGAGGCAGGGTCTCACTTTGTAGCCCAAGCGGAATTTGAACTCAGGCTCCTCCTTCAGCCCCCAGAGTGCAGGGACAATTCCCGGCATGCTCATGGCCCCAAGTTCACAAGCGTGAACGGCCGCAGAGGTCAGCCCTCCCTGTGTTACCGGACTCTTTCCGTCTTCTGAAGCATTTAGTTCTTTGCTGTGCTGCCAGGGTCTTTATGCTTACGAGATGAACGTTCTACCGCTGAGCTACGTCTTCCCACCCCAAGGTGCACTACTAAAGGAAAGCAGTGTTGAAAGCGCTGTCTCCATTTTTAAATTCTTCCTCAGCTGGGCGTTAAGCCCCTCAGCCCCTCCCCTCAGACACACAGACAAAGGTGACATATACCTAACGCCACCTCTGTTCAACACCAGATATTTTGAAGGATTTAAAGGTTCAGTTTCTGGCAACTCTCACAGAACTGGACAGAGCTGAAGTCAGTTGGAACTTTTATGGAGGAGAAGCAGGTTTGGTCAGTAAAAGTCTTCCAGTGACGGTGAGGTCTTCTGGGTCTTTCTGGGAGCGGCCAAACTGGTTCTCAGGATTACTGTCCCCTGGAAATGACACCTGTTTCCTCCTTGCAGCCTTAATAGGCAACTCACATAGTGTAGTTTTTGTTTTTTTGTATTTTTCTCATTTTTCAAGACAGTTTCTCTATAGCTCTGGCTGCTCTGGAACTCACAGATATTGGCCTGCCTCTGCCTCCTGAGTACTGGGATTAAAGGTGTGTGCCACCACTGCCCAGCTGGTAGATGTTTTACCTTGGGGTACTTGGGGCTTGTCTTAACTCTTCTGGCATATTTTTTATTTATTGTCCTTTTTCATTTTATTCTTTTCTTCACGTCAGATAAGGCCATACAGACCATACGAGGCCCTTGTTTGGAGTTAGTGTTTTGAACCCCAGGCCTGTTCTGCTCTCAAACTGATCTTTTGTTCTTCCTCTGTCTCAGCTAGGACTTTGCCAGAATGTTTTTAGAAGTCGGTCTTGCAAAAGCAAAAGCGTGTTAGGTAGTACTGTTGACTTCCTGCACTCAGTGTTGACCTCCATGCTCACCCAGTGCTCTTCCCTGGATCAGCATTCACCTTGTAAGGCTACAAAGCCTACAGTGCCCCCTGGTGGTTGCAGGAAATTTGAGGCACAGCTTTTGTTTTTAACAACCTACCCTAGGGGACATGCTAAACCAGGGAGATGAGAAAAGTCTGTCCAGCCTGGTAAGCCTGGAAGGTTTGGGGATATAATGGGGTTGAGAGATCTCCCTTGGTCTGTCTGTCTGTCTGTCTCTCTATCTATGTGGGGGAGAGAGAGAGAGAGAGAGAGAGAGAGAGAGGTGGGGAGAGGGCGAGAGAGAGAGATTACCTGGCCCCGCGAAGGGCACAGGTGAATAGAAGCCATAGTGGTGTTAAAGTCAGGCTGTCTCCCTGGAGGAGTACTGCTGGCGTACCCCCTAACGCCTGCTACACGGAGGGCCCAACAGGCAGGGGACAGAGAGGGACATGTAGCACAGAATGAATAGTGGAAGCTGTTTTGGCTACCTCATCAGTCAGTCCTGGTTTCAGGGCTGAATCATACACAGGTGTGCTGACCGGGTCCCATGCAGATGTCCAGGGGGGTCAGCCAGTAGACCAACCCCCCGTGTGGCTGTGCTAACACCGGTTTCCTTCCAGCCTCAGAGGTACCTTTTCCTCCTTTGCCGAAGGCACCACAAGGCCCAGATCTCTTTCCTTTTGTTTCTCAATGTGTTCACATAGCATGACCAAATATTTAATATCTTCCCATGATGCAGTTCACTTTGTGTCATACAGCAGAAATTCTGGAGGCTGTGCTCTCAGCTCCCAGCTGCTTCTGCCCCTCCCTGGCACTGCTGCTGCCGTGCCCAGACGCCCCCACGTCCCCCCATTTCTTGTGTGGCAGTTGAACTGCTTAGGACCTCCTTCCCTGGGTGGCCTGACAAGTGCTGCTTGGGACAGGCACTTCCTATCCCTTTAGGACCTTGAACTCTGCAGCCTACTTCCTGCTGTTGCTGCTGTTGCCCCCGAGTCCTGCTGGCCCCGCCTCTTCCTCCATCCTAGTGTGCTTCATCCCAGTAGGCTTAGTTCTGGGAAGGGGCGGCTTCAATAAAGAGGAGGAGGAGGGAAGAAAGTGAAGTGGCGAGAACCAGGAGTGGCACAGGGGAAATAATTTGCTATTCCAGTGTTGGGGTCCCTGACACCATCTCCTGCCTCACTGACAGGCAACCTTTCTTCCCTCAGGTGGCCTCATGATTTCTCTGGCGGACCATGCCCATGATCGTTTTTGCAAGCATAGTACGGGTGAGGGATGGGCTGCCCCTCTCAGCCTCCACTGACTTCTACTACGCCCAGGAGTTTCTGGAATGCAGGAGGCAGCTCAAGGCCTTAGCCCAGAGGCTGGCTCAGTGTCCTGGCCGAGGTTCTGCAGAAAGCCGAGACTTCCAAATCTAGTAAGTGAACACATTCGCTTCTCCAGGACGTCAGCAAACACGGGGTCATTTTACCCACAGGCTGAGGTAACAAAGCAGTGTGGGTTGAAGGTTAAAGGTTAAAGGTATGGTCTCAGCAGTCAGGTGGTGTATGCTTGCAACAGAGTCAGGGAAGGAGTGGATGTCCATCCTCAGCACCGCCATTCAGTGCTGTTGATCATCTGCTGTCCGTAGAGCATCCTTGGATGTGGGGAGACCCAGCTTCTCCCCAGGGGGCACCCTTTTAGTCATCCTATTTTTTACTTAGTTACAACAGAAGGAAGAAGACTAGAAGCTACGTTAAAATGCCAGGGAGGGAAAAGTGGAGGAGCCCAGACACAAGAGTTCCCCAAGCCCTGTCCTTAGAGGGCAGCGGAGGATGGCCTTGACCCGTTGGGGTGTGCAAGCACTCTGCCAACCAAGCCTCATCCCAGCATGGATTTTCCTGTGGCTGTTCCATGACGGGAACAGGGGAATGAAAGTAAGTGAGGGTGGGCCTCTCCTTTCAAGGAACTTAAAGTCTCATGAGGGAAGAAGAGAAACAGATACGGAGTTAGTATAATAGGGAAAGCCCACGGTGGGTACCAGTGACGATGACGACGGCAGAGGCTGTGGGTGCTTTGTATCCTCACGACGTTCTGCGGTTTCAGGGGCTTATGAGACACTTGGCAGGGTCAGGCAGGCCAGACAGGTCACGTGCTTTGCCAAGGAGGAATTGAGGTCAAGCGACTTAAGGAAGCTTCAGCTAGTGAGCGGTGGAGCCAGGATTTGAAAGCAGCCAGTTGGGCCCCAGGTTTGTCGCTCGTGCGTTCGGTCCTTTCTTGTGTTGAGGAGCAAGGCAGGCTTGGAAATAGTCAAGTGGCTTGTTACAGACTGTACGCCTGCCTGCGGTTTTACCTGCTAGGTCTTTGCTTGCCAAGTCCCCTTTCTTCCCCTTTCATGATACTTAAAACTGGCCAGAGACGTTGGCATCCTTTTAGGTCTGTTTGGCCTCAGAATCATAAAAGCAGAAGGCAAGTGCCAACCTGGCCCGAGGGCAGGCGGAAGGGTAGTATCAGGCAGAGGGGATGGTGGCTGGAGACCTGAGCTGCCCCCTTGAGGAGCGGACTCCTGGAGCTGCTGCCTCCGCTGCCCCCTCCCTGCACTGCCTCTTCCCTGCGCCCGTCTGCATGGCTCAGGAAGCTGTGCATCAGACAGGACTCCCTTTTCCTGAAGAAGTCCATGACCTCATAATTAAATCCAGGCTGCCTTGGCAACTCCTAAAAAACAGGACTATAAAATGTTCTGCTCTTGATTTTTCTCGTTTTGCTTGTTTTTACGGTGCCGGGGTTGACCCCAACACCTGTGCACATTAGGTCAGTCAACCCAACTCACCTGCTTCTTCATAGTTTGCATTAAATATCCACCCTCATTGTCATGGAGGCAGCTTAGACGTTTTTCTTCTTCTTTTTTTTAAATCTCTCAAGACTGTTTATCTCTGTGGATCCCTGGCTGTCCTAGAACTTATTCTGTGGATCAGACTGGCTTCAAACTAGAGATTGCCAGCCTCTGCCTCCCGAGTGCTGGGATTACATGTGTGCACCTCCACCGCCTGGCAATCATTTCTTTTTTAAATTTGACTTATTCTGTTGTATATATGCATGTGTGCACACATATGTGTACACAAAAATGTGGTTATTCGGATGCCATAGCATTCATAGGGAGGTCCATCTCTCACTGTGTTAAGGTCAGGTCATACATGCACAGGGAGGTCCATCCCCCACCTTGTTAAGGTCAGGCCTCCCTTGTTCTAGGCTAGCTGGCCTGCAAGCTTCTAAGCAATTCTGTCACCAGTTCCCATTTTGTCCTCGGAGTGCTCGGGTTACAGATGCATGCCTCCACATCCAGCTTTTAAATGTGGATTCTGGGGATTTTTCTCGGTCATCAGTCTCAGCAGTATGCACCATTATTTGCTGACCCATCTTGTCAGCCTTAGTCTTTTCTTAAATTTTTCTAAAATTTAGATTTGTTTGTTTAATTTTATGCGTATGACTGTTTTGCCTGAATGTATATGTGTGTACCGAGTCTGTACCTGTAATCCTAGTATTCAGGAGGCCGAGGTGGGAAGCTCATCAGTTAAAGGCTAACCTTGGCTACATAATTTGACCCAGCCTCGGCTACATAGTTTGAAGCCAGCCTGAGTGACAGAGAGATCTTATCTTTAAAGAAGAGCAAAGTAAACATTAACCCAAGGTGAGGTGGGGGTTTATTCTGTCTCCTGGCAGCTCAGCTGTCACCTTCTCTTTCAGTTTCTTATCCTCGGGGGACGTGGCCTGCATGGCCATCTGCTCACGTCAGTGCCCGGCAGCCATGGCCTTCTGCTTCCTGGAGACTCTGTGGTGGGACTTCATAGCTTCCTATGACGCCACATGCATTGGCCTGGCCTCCCGGCCCTACGCTTTTCTTGAGTTCGGTTTGTAACTGTCTTTGTCCTTTTCTTTCTCATATGATGTTATGTTTATAGAAACTGAAGTCTAGGTTTGGCCCCGGGAAAACCACAGGAGGTTCTACCATATGCTCTGATTTCACAGGAATTAAAGTGGTCTTGCAGCTTACCACGGTATCTTTCTGTGTCTTCAGAGCCTGTGGGGAGATGGAGGAACGTTCTCCATAGGCTTCCGAAGCAAACCATAGTCTATAGAGTTCAGAGCTATGCTATATGAATCAGAGCTGTTATCTATGGATAGTAGCTATCCGTAGATTCCTGAGACAGGATGTGCCCAGCAGCCTCAAGTGTTTACTGTCTTACTCTTGGAGACAGTTCTGTTGACACCAGTTCTGGGCCGAGCTACCTGGGGAATTTTCCTCCATGCTAAGTCCGGAAGTGGAGGAAATGTTTCTAACTCCTCCACTTGATGTCACATTCCAGCAATATTTTTTTTTTTCAAAACATTCGGCTGTGACAGTTTGGAAATGAGACAATTTGGTCCTTCCTTCAGCAGGTTGACAAGGCCTGCTTTGGCAGAAGACATGTTTGTTCCAGGCTCAGCCAGAAGGGCCCATGTGGTTCCCAAGTCTCCAGAACACAGCCTGGTAGTCACCCCAGGCAGACCTCAGCTGTGGCTCCCTTGGTGTCAGTGTATTAGAGAGGAGTGGAGCTGTATTCTTTCCCCCTTGTCTCTGTAGTTGTCTTCCTGCAAAGCAGCGAGCTGAGTCTGACCGGAGACCTTCCCTAGCGCTGTAGTCAGAGGCTGCTTGTTTGTTCCCGGCCATCCAGACCTGAAATAATCACACAGAAACTGTATTAATTAAAACAGTTTGGCCTATTAGCTCAGACTCCTTATTAACTAACTCTTACATCTTAAATTACCCATTTCTATTATTCTGTGTATCACCACAAGGCTGTGGCTTACCGGGTTCTGGCATCTCTCTGACTGCCTACTTTCTTCCAGCATTCAGTTTAGTTTTACTACCGAGGTCTATTCTGCCTCACCGTAGGCCCAAGCAGCTGCTTCTTTTCATTAACCGATAAAAGCAACACATATACAAAAAGGAGTTCCCACATCATAGCACTGTCATGACTCCTTAGTGTGTGGGAGCATGAGTCAGAGAATAGTGCTGGAATCATGCCTGTGTGTGATTGGGGCTTCCTAATGCATGCGAGGAAAACTTCAAAAACATGTCAGCCAGGCATGGTGGCACATACCTATAATCCTAGCAGTTGGTCCCATCAGGAGTTTAAGGCCATCCTTGGCTATCTAGCAAATCTGAGGCCAGCCTGGACTGTATGAACCCCTTGGCTTAAAAAAACAAAACAAAACTGATAAAGCCATGTCATTTGTTGAAATGGGTTAATAGTAATATGACTGAAAGATTCAAAACCAGCATTTCTTTCCTAGTTTGTTTTCTATTGCTGTGATAAACACTATGACCAACCCAAAGCACCTTGAGAAGAAAAGGGTTGTTTGGCTTACAGGGTGTGTATATGTGTATACATATATATGTACATATATACATATATGCATATGTATTACGCACACACACATACACACACATATATGTCTTATGTACATATCTTATGAAGGAAAGTCAGGGCAGGAACTCAAGGAGGGGACCTGGAGTAGGAACTGAAGCAGAGGCCATGGAGAGATGCTGCTTACAGGCTTGCGCCTCACCCATGGCCAACATGTTGAGTCTGCATTTTTGTACAGCCCAGGCCCACCTTCCCAGGGGTCGCACTGCACTGCCTGCAGCGGGCTCCTGCCCTCCCCCATCACAGGTTTGCCATCGGGGTCGCACTGCCCGCAGCAGGCTCCTGCCCTCCCCCATCACAGATTTGCCATCAGGGTTGCACTGCCCGCAGCAGGCTCCTGCCCTCCCCCATCACAAATTTGCCATCGGGGTCGTACTGCCCACAGTGGGCTCCTGCCCTCCCCCATTACAGGTTTGTCATTATAGGCCAATCTCATGCAGGCGGTTTCTCATCTGGAAAGCTCCTCTTCCCAGATGGCTCCAGCTTGTGCTGAGTAGGCCAACACAACCTGCACACCTCCCAACGTGGCCTCCCAGCTTGTACTGTAGAGCCATGTTTATCTTCAGAAAGCTCTTGACATGAGACTGTCAGGGATTCCCATCCCCAACTCCCAGTTCAGTCCAGTGCCTCCTGCCCCCCTCGGGTAGCTGAGGTTGGTGATTTCTGCAGCCACACTTAATTATATGCTTTGAAGAAATGGATCAGATTAGTGTTAATGCGCAGCACTCACCTGACCTCCCATAACTGACTCAGTTTGGAATCTGGCTGATTTGCCAGTTGCTTAGCAACGGGTGCTTCTCTCCCCGCATGCTGTCTTGGAGCTCCCATCCTGATGATGCTCACCTTGGGCCTCTCTCTCTCCGCAGACAGTGTCATTCAGAAAACAAAGTGGCATTTTAACCACGTGAGCTCCTCCCAGATGAAGAGTGGCTTCGAAAAGATTCAGGAGGAGCTTGAGCTCCAGCCTCCAGCACTTCTGTCCCTGGAGGGCACAGACGTGGCCAATGGCGTGCTGAACAGCCACACCCCAGTGCACACTGAGTCTGGTAAGTGCCTGCTGTTCTCTGGTGCGAAAGGACGCATGTCAGGTAGAATTTCCCCCACTCGAAAATGGTCTGGTTTGGTGGTAGCATGTTCAATATCTTGGGATATACTTGAATATAGACGAACCCTTTTCCCACATAGTTGTTATAAACTGTTGTGAGAGTGGCCTTTGTCAAGGAAGCAGTCTGATGACATTCCCGAGGGTCCAGGCCATCTTGGCAGGCTGTGCGTCATGGTGAAGCTCACAGGTTTTCATGCTGTGAGAATTACTGTGCTGGAAGCCCCTCGTGGGACTCTCTGGTTTACCACATTACTAAGGCACTGGAAGCCTGTGTTGGGAAACCACAACCCTCTTGTTGGAGAAGGGGTGTAGGGACAGTATCTATGTGCCATCTAAAAATTCTTCAGTGGGGGCCAATGGGTGGCTCTGGGGTAAAGGCTTGCCTCCACCCCAGGCACCTGAGTGTCATGTCTGAAGACCACATGGTAGGAGGAGACTCCCTTCTTTGTCCCCTGACCTTTGTCCTCTGACCTCTGCACACATGCCATGGTGTGTCCCCTGGAAGAGCTGTCTGCATTATAACAATCTAATTTAAAAAATTTCCATACTGAGCTCTTGGCTTGAAGTTTAAGTGGCATATTAAGTATATTTGGTTTGGGCTGAGTGTGTTTAAACCAATATATTCCCAGGTTGGCTCGCCTGCCAATCAGCAGGCTGCTCCTGTTTAGTGTTGGGAGAACTTGAAGGAGGAGGCCGGGTAATCAAGCCCAAGCTCTCCCCTTGCCATGAGTGACCACAGCGACCCCTTTGTAATGTATGTTTTGTTTTTTTTAAGCACTTAGAAAAGAGGAGCAAATCCCCAAAGCGCCAAGTTACCCACCTGTCAGGACCTTTTCCTGCCTCACCTAATTGTCCCAAGGCTAGAGTCCTCACAGGTAGCATTTCTGTTCTGGTGGGAACTAACACACTAACGCTGGTTTTAGCTGGACTGTGGCTTCCAGGGCATGTGTTGTGCGTTACTTGCGGGGGAACTGTCAGGACCAGAAAGGATACTTAGGAAGGAGCACAGCAGGAGAAGGGACTGGGTAGCAGCTGTGAACCAGAATCCATTTGAATGATGAGCATTGGGAGAGAGCAAGTCCGTGTTCCCTTTATCATCCTGGCTACAGTTCTAGATGGAACACCTCCTCCTCCTGGGTATTTTAGAATTACTGAGACGTCTGCTGTGGATTTGTCTGGATGCCCACCTGACACTGAACATTGTCCTTATTGGGAATAGAGTGGAACAGTTTACAAACTGGAAAAGGTGGTGGAGGAAGTGCTTCTCGAGTCTGGACACTCCTGCCCCAGCATCTCAGCCTGGCCTGTGGGCGTGCTGTTTTGGGTGACTCTGTGTTGAGGTATCCCATGTCCTGCAGGATGCTTAGCAGTGCCACTGGCATTTGCCTGTCCTGATGACAATTACAGGTGTCTCTGGACACCCCTCTGGGGGCAAGCCACTCCTGCTTAAAATAAAAAGGCAACTGAGTGCTTACAGATTTGCGTCTGACATGAAAAAGAGCTTTTTTTTTTTCCTGGAAGAAGTTCACCTCCATTTCTGAGATCCATTCTGGCGTTCATTTCTGACTTGCCCCGCTAACTTCTGTTGCTTTTTAGATGCGTGCTTGTGGTTCTGTGCTTAGCATCGTGGGTCTGTTAGCAGAGGTCTAGTTGGCTGGTTGGTATCCTGTCCCCTCGTGTCGCAGAGATACAGTTCTCACCGAACGCTCCTCTCTTTCCATTGTGAAGCCCTGAATCTCCGGATGGAGCCGGTGACGGCGCTGGGCATTCTCTCCCTCGTGCTCAACATCATGTGCGCTGCCCTGAACCTCATCCGCGGAGTTCACCTCGCAGAACACTCCTTACAGGTGGCCTTGGGGATCGAACCCAGGATTTTCTGACTGCCTCAGCATGCGCTGTTTATCCAGAGCTGCATCCCCAGCCCTGCTTCATGGTCCAGTGGGAAGACAAGTGACAGAAGCTGACCATGGGAGGCAGTCTATTGATCAGCTCACTGTGCAGTTAGGATTTTTGTTTGTTTGTGGTTGTTTTTGCTGTTTTGGTTTTTTGAGACAGGGTTTCTCTGTGTAGCTATGGGTCTGTCCCAGTTCAGGCTGGCCTCAAACTCACAGAGATCCTCCTGCGTCAGCCTTCCCAGTGCTGGGATCAAAGGTGTGGGCCACCACCACCCGGCACAGTTAGGTTTTACGAATATCAAAAGTTCAAATAAAACATTTTAGAACTTTTAATCCATAAGCTGGATATGGCTATGCACCCCCTAATCCCAGCATTGGAGATGCGGAGGCAGGAAGATCAGAAACCCATACCCAATCTTCAGCTTAGGGTAGAGTATAAAATAAAAGAATCCGAAACAAAAAATTGTTCTTTGTAGTAAGTTGAACAAATTTGGAAGGACCCCTTTGTGACTGACCTTGGGAGTGCTGGGATGTTGCTGTGAAGTAGACAGCTTGCCAGCGGGGACTTTGGGCTGCTTCCCAGTCCCTCCCTGGGAACCAGGTTCCATTGTCAGCAGGGTGCAGGGTAGAGTCTCACACTGACAGGCTCTAGGAAGAGATGTCCCCGCCCTGTGGTGTGTGGCCCACAGGAGCCTCTTCTCTTGTCAGAGACCCACATCCCTGGGACTAAGTGAGCATTCCTTTTGTTGACCACTGCTGGTGACCAACAAAAGGAAAAAAATATTTTTGGAAGTTTTCGAACGCTTGTCAAAGGAATAGAACTATTATTAGCATAAGCAGGTGTCTGCTATTTTTAAAGATAGAGCCGTAGTGTTTTTATAGATTTTTGTCTCATATTTTTTTGTTTGGACATTTTTTTAGTTTTACTGGCCTTTTGATTATATGTTACGGTTTCTGATTTTGTGTTTTTATGGATTTGGAGGTGTGTGTGTTTACTATATTTTTTCATTTTATTTTTTATTTTATTATTATTACTATTATTTTTGCCTGTTTTTTTTTTTTTAAAGAGAGAAAGCATGGAGTTGGTTGGATGGAGGGGGGTGGGGAGGTCCTGAGAGGGGTTAGGGAGAGGAAACTGGGATCAGAATATATCGTATGAATTTTCAATTAAAAAAACAAAACAAAAGATAAAGCCTTAGTACTCATGGCAGTGAGAGGTGTTGACTGTAGAGTAAGGGATGGTGGTTCGTGGGTGTTGAGTCCAGAAGGCTGATGTGGACTGGGCCCTTTGAAGAGCAGCACTGGGCCTGTGTTAGAGCCATAGCTGTGAAAACTCTCAGGCCAGTTAGTTACCTGACCAGTGTGTGGTGTGGATCAGGCACCTGGCAGCTGTGTGCAGTAGAATTGGTGCCTGGTTGGTTGCCTTGAGGGTCTCTTGGATCGTGCAGGGACAGCATCTAGGTGGTAGTGCCTGGGGCAGGAGGTCCTAGAAGAAGCTTAGCACTAGCAGATGGGAAGGGTTGGGAGGGCTGAGGGGGCGGGACCTCGTTGCATGTTGAGGGTGTAGCATGACTGCCCAAGACAGGAGTGTGTGGTCTGTCTAACATTGAAAAAAGTCTGACGAGGCGTCTTTGAACTGTCAGTCACACCCGGGAAATGGGAATAACGAGCTTCATGCCATGGTGGTTCCTTTCAGCCAAACCTCTCTTCTGTGTGCCCCGGATCTGTTTCAGATCGCCCAGGAGGAAGTTGGGAACATCCTGGCCTTCTTCGTCCCTTCTGTGGCCTGCATCGTCCAGGTGGGTGCAGTCCGTGACTGGGGTAACGGTGACACCCAGGGTGAAACCACAGTGTGAACGCATGGCTTTCCCTGAGGGGGACTTCACAGGGAGGCCACGCAGTCTTGGGAGGGTCTTATGGTCTGGTCTGTCCCCTATGCTGCATCTCTGTCTTCCTGCATCCCCAGGCTGGGCATGTGCCTGTGTGTCGCTAGTGTCCTTCCTCCTGTGACACCTGTTTTGTTCTTTTTGAATCTCCTCCTGTTCACTCGGTGGTTAACAGCCACGGGTCCCAGCTTTGCTGTAGTGAATTCAGAGAATAGGCCATGCATGATTGCATCAGCGGATAGGCACGTGCATGCATGCATCAGTGAACAAGCTCATGCATGCAGGCATCAGTGAATAGGTGCACGCATGCAGCTGTTTGTGGCTGCATCTGACTTGAGGCTGTCTGCTTCTCTCTGACTGGTTGTATTGTGGTCTCATTTCAGTGTTACCTGTACCTGTTCTATAGTTCAGCCAGGACTCTGAAGGTGGTGCTGATGCTGGCCTTCATCTGCCTGGGCAACGTGTACCTGCACGGGCTGAGGAACACCTGGCAAATCCTCTTCCACATAGGAGTGGCTCTTCTCTCTTCGTATCAGACCCTAACCAGACAGCTGCAGGAGAGGCAGTCTGACTACGGAGTGTGAGGATAGCATCATGCAGTGAATGGAGCCTTTGACTTCCCCTCCCCGTCCCCGGAAGGCCAGTCTGTTTCTGCTCCTGCTTCTCAATTTCACCTCAGATCTCCATCCATGAAGCTCCCGAGATCACAGGTTCTGGCAGGTGTCATGGAGGACCCAGGGCGGCCGGTTGCATCTCGGTTTGTGTGGAGCATTTGTGGATAATGGCCAGCCGGGCACAGGACAGGCAGCCGAAGCCAGAGCTTGCCGGGAGAGCATCTCTGATGGTCAGAGTGACCATGTGTTGGTCTCCTACCTAAAGCGATGCTGCACACCACTAGATTCCATGATGGTAGCTTTGGTCGTTGGCCTGCCAGGAAATGGTCTGCAAGGAGACTCTTTAAAGTTGAAACCAGTTTGCAGTTCCAGTGTGACCTCAGTCAGTTTTCCCTAGAGTGTCAGGGTAAATTAAAAGCTTGAAAATATGGCTCATAAATGTAAGCTAGGTAAATTTTGTTTACATTTTTGATAACTTGGGTTCGATATACTTTTGGAATATTTAAATATATTTTGGATATAAATTGAAGCTCATTTAGAATGAAGGCAAACTTAGGCTAAAGAAATGCTAAGTAAATCCGAGTTTATTTAATTTACAGCGACCGTTTATGGTGGTGGGACTCTGTAGATACGGATGTTGTCTGTATCTCTTTTGCAGGGTCTATCTGAAGATTATTAAATTAATAACCAATATTACTGGGTCATAAGCACATGGACATTAGCAGATGTGAGAGCCCCAGGGTCCTTTCCATGGGGCAGAGAGGAATGGAAATGCTGGGGTTCAGCGGTGCTTGGCAGAATTGGGGAGAGGCTTCGGTCATCTTTGGGTGGCAGCCCATTGCCTGTCAAGGTAGCATTGCTGGAGGCGTGGTCCTGTGTGCCTCCTGGAGAGGCCGTGCCTGAGCATCTCGGTTAGACCGAGGGCCCTGTTGTTTTATGGGCAGGCATTGAGTGGGTGTTAGCGTTGCAAAGCTTCGTGTGACTGACACCCGTGCTGCAAAGCTGCTAAGGTGTGCTTCTGAATAAGAGCCCCCTGCAGCTCCAGTGTGGGTATCTGGTGGCACTCAAGAAGCCATGTTGGGGTTCACCCCTCTGGCTCGTTCTTGGAGTAGTGCCCCCACAACTGTGTGGGTTGAGCCATTTGGCTCCGTAAGTGATCAGTCCTATTTTGATCGTTTGTGAAGGAGAAAGCTATCCCCAAAGTTACTGAGTAGCGGGGAAGACAGGTGTGTGGGGTAAAGAGTTCTCTTGCTTGACTGTCGCTGGTACATGTTGGTGAGCCACCAGGTGTCTGTGACCCAGAACTGGGTTGGGAAAGCATCGCCGTCTGACTTTGTTTCCTTAGAGGAGAATTTTCTATTTTTAATCAAATCTATAATGTCTGAGTATAAGTGTCATATTGGCAACATCCTTGGATGTGAACGTGAACCTTGTGTCTTTGTTGATCTCACACTGTGTAATTCTGTATATACTGCATAGGCAAATGCTCATTCTTCCTGAGAGAATTTTGAAGTGGCCATAGAGGAAGCCAGAGAGAAGAGAAAATTCTTTTAATTCAAAACATACACTCAAAACATTTTTTAAGTAAGTTAAAAAAAATCAGCCTAAAAATACACTGTTTTCCTTGTAAGCCTCTGTGGTATTGTGTTGCCCCTGTCTGGAGACCCCCCACACTCTAGGGGTTGAGCCTCTGGTCGTCAGTCTACGAGCAGTGACTTGTGGATGAGCCCTTGCCAGAGACATTTCATAACCCTTAGGTGCTAGCGAGGGTGTTGTCCACACTTGGTTGACAGGGTTCCAGACTGTCATAAATGGAAGGAAAAGGTGCTTCAAGGGAAACAGAAAACAGAGAACCTTTATCTGGAATACAGCCAAGCAGGCTCACCTCCCTGGAAGAGGGTGGTGACGGGAAATAAGTTTCCAGGAAACCCCGGGTTTTGGGGTAACTTGGTTCAGACCTGGATGTTGGTATCCCCAGTGGGATCTTTGATGCCCGGAACCTGGTTCCAAGGCAGGAGCGCCCCTCTGGCATTTTTAGATGAGCAGCTAGGTAGTGCTGCCCAGCTGGCTCACATAACACGGTGTTGAGATGGCCTCCAGGTGCTTTTCTGTCCAGATGTTCACAGACTGCGGATGGACTTCTGCAGGTGCTGTTGTCTGCTGGTACTGGGTGGGAGTGGCCCAGCACTTGGGCAGAAAGCATATGATTCTGATGACTTGCCCCTCAGTGAGCCTTATCTTGGTGGGAACTGTACCTGACTTCCCTTTTTCTGGGTGGAAAGAACTGGACTATCTCAGTCACGGACACCTCACTGACCCCATGGCTGTGGTTCTTGCTGACCATGAACCCTGTTGATACGCATTGTGGGCTTTTTCTTTGAGCCCCTTTCTTCCCTAGCCACCGTGTATCCCCTCTCCCCTGCCTGTTTCCACTCTGCCTCCTACATCCCTGCCTCCAGAGAGAGATAGATGTAGGCTAGAGTCTAGAGAGACAGGCACCATGATGGAGAGGGAACCGACTTTGAAGCCTGACCCTCTGCCCCACCTCGGCTCAGCCCTCAGGAGAACGAGCACTTTGATGGTCATCTCCTGTCATCTCTGCTGGGGGCTAGCGCAGTAGCTGGCAGACCCAGGGAGGTGACCGGAGCCTAGGTTCACACCTGGGTTGCTCCTTGAAGGAAATGCCTGCCCACTGTGACACCAACACAGCCACCTTCCAGTCTCTTCTGTATGCTTGACAATGAATGACCTGGGAAAGAGGCTGGGCATGTCCAGGTGTGTACACATGAGAGAGGCGGGGCATGTCCAGGTGTGCACACATGAGAGAGGCGGGGAATGTCCAGGTGTGCACACGTGAGAGAGGCGGGGCATGTCCAGGTGTGTACACATGAGAGAGGCGGGGCATGTCCAGGAGTGCACACGTGAGAGAGGCGGGGCATGTCCAGGTGTGCACACGTGAGAGAGGCGGGGGCATGTCCAAGTGTGCACATGTGAGAGAGGCGGGGCATGTCCAGGTGTGCACACCTAAGAGAGGCGGGGCATGTCCAGGTGTGCACACATGAGAGAGGCGGGGCATGTCCAGGTGTGTACACGTGAGAGAGACACAGCATGGTCAGGAGTGCACACATGAGAGAGGCGGGGGCATGTCCAGGTGTGTACACGTGAGAGAGGCGGGCATGTCCAGGTGTGTACACGTGAGAGAGGCGGGGCATGTCCAGGTGTGTACACGTGAGAGAGACACAGCATGGTCAGGAGTGCACACTGCTGTCAGCCGTGTCCAGCAAACCCTTGCTGAGCTACTGCTCATGCCTGGATGTCCTCAGGTCTGGGGCCATTCTACCTGTGTGCTGTGAGAGCCAAGAATGGTGGTGGAAGAGAAACCGGGTGTGCCCTCGAGAGACGAGGTAGGGTCAGCCAACCCAGCGGCCTGGAGGTCAGCTTTGTTCTTTCTCAGTCCTGTGTCACAGTGGAAGTCCCTGCCTGCTGTTCCTCAGCATCTTCCCCGCAACAGGACAGGAACACCAGCTCGCAGTCCCTGTATGCTCCCGTGAGGATTGCAGGTGGCCACAGGGAAAAGGGCCGCAAGGTGGCTGGGAGTGTGCAGCAGGCCACAGACCTCACCTGTGCTCAACCATTCACAAGGTGGCATTTCATGCTGCTACCGTCTAACTGGCTCCTCTCTTCCCCTGGACCTGCCTCTTGGTCCTGGGCATGGACAGCCATTATCGCTAGACCTGCTCTAGGATCCTAGGAATCTAGTCGTAGATTGGGTCAGACTTCAGTGTCCATCCCCAGTCTCAACAAGGAAACCCCTCCCAATCTCTCCTCCCACTCTCGTGTTGCTGGGGAGACATCAGCAGGACAGCCGTGGAGGGGGCTGGTAATAGTGGGCGAGGGAAATGCTCACCCATGGGATGTGATGGGCAGGGCTGTGGCCCACAATTGCCTTAAATTAACCCTATTCTTTCCTTTCTCTTTGACCCATGTCTGCTGCATTATGTGTGACCTTTAACCCTTATTTTGATATGATTCTTAGACTGCTTCAGAAATGTTACCTAATGAAAACTTTGTACGACTCAGCCCCTAGGATTTGATTTGGCTTAGTGGGTTTTTCTAAGAACATAAAAGAATTTGCTAATTTAGGCCAAACCATTTATTCCGCACACTCACCCCTAGGGTCTGCTGCCCATATTGTAAGCTACTCCTCAGTTGATAACAAAGATCTATTTTGGGTACCCGATGGGCACATTTTAACTTTCACATACTCATAAACTGAAACCCGTGACGACATACTGATCTTGTACAGCTATTTGTATACCGTGTAAAATGACATGAGGTGGCTTCAGAAGTGTGTAGGGAATAAACTGAAGTGTTTACTAATGCGCGTGTGTCTATGTGTGTGAGCAGTTCTGCATCAGGGCCTATTGTTGGTCTGAGGTGGTCCGTGGGAGAAGTGACATCTGGTCTGAACAGGTCTGAGGACACAGGCTTTAGTGTAGGTCCCTAACCAAAGCAGCAGGGGTGGAAATGCTCTGGGCTGGGCAGCCTGCAGGCTCTATAGCTGCCACCTTGCTATGTGCCTCAGAGTTCTGGGCGTTTGTGGACAAGGCGAGTGGCCACCAGGGGGCGCAGCAGTCGTCCACACCACCTCGTCCCAACCTAGGGACGCTATCCTTAGCTGCTTTGGAACAGCTGACAAAATTCCCAGGAAGGGGTTTGATGCAACTACTTTGGACCAGCCTCCTAAGCTGGGAGCATGTGTTCTCAGCATGTTTCCTCTGTCTCTCCTGAGCCTCAGTCGTAGGAAGAGGCCAAAGCCACTTTCTAAGATACTCCTTTGAGTTGTTGGGATAAGGTAGACAAGTCCTTTTGCTCAGGTGTGAGATCTGTCTCCTGGCCCAGAAGGGAGGGCCATCCCCTTCTGGTAGCACCCACAGATAATAAATAGCAGTTTGGGCCATGAAGATGCTTCTTCTGCCCCAGGAGGACTGGGGAGAGTTTGGGCTGATGAGTCTCTGCTTTTAACTTGAGTCTTACCCATGCAGGGACCTTGATGACAGCTGCCAAGCATGCTTGCAGAACACTGGGCCAAGCATGCTTGCAGAACACTGGGCCAGTCATGCTTGCAGAACACCAGACCAGGCATGCTTGCAGAACACTGAGCCAGGCATGCTTGCAGAGCACTGGGCCAGGCATGCATACGCAGCATCAAAGGGTGGTAGACTAAGGAGAGGAACCTGGCAGAGATTCTGTGGACCAGGCCTCAGATGGACAGTCAAATGGATGGACGAGGCAAAGTCTGTGGAGTTTGCCGAGTGCCAAAGAGAAGACCCTCTGATCTGACGGGGAAGATACTTAAAGTCATAGGCACAACCCCTAAACAAACAGATTGTCAGGCTTGGGGCTGGAGAGACAGCTTAGCAGTTCGGGGCACTGGCTGCTCTTCCAGAGGACCTGCATTCACTTGGCAGCTTATAGCTGCCTGTAACTCCAGTTCCAGGGGATCTGGTGCCTCCTGGCCTCTGCAGGCACCAGACACACATGTGGTGCACAGACATACATGCTTAGAAAACCCCCACAGATATAAAAATAGATAAGTAAAAAAATTTTAAAAGATTGACGAGTTTGATGATAGGAGATCCCGGGGAACAGTGAAAAGAACGGGAGGGTTTGGCCGCAGAGCAGGAAGTGGTAAGGGTAGCATAGGAGCAGTCTGTGGATTGGCAAGAAATGGCAATCTAAATTTAAAAAATGACAAAGTCTGCAATGATTGTGAGTCATCAATAGAAGAGATGACTGTTAGGACCATGGGCATGAAATAAAACGACAGAAAGACACTACCTTATGCCATGAACTTTGCAAGACAGGGTAGGGCTGGGGTATAGCTGAGTCGGTAGAGAGAATGACGAGAACTTGTGAAGTCCCGGTTCAGTCCCTAGCACCACATAAGCCAGGGGAGATTGCAGTCTCAGCATCCAGGAAGAAGAGGCAGGAGGGTCAGAAGTTCAGGGTCATCCTCGGTATGGGGGGTTCAAGGCCAGTCACGGCAGCCTCAGACCCTGTGTCTATAGCTGCTTCTGGGACCAGTGGGGAGCCAAAGCAGAGGCTAGGGCCTGAAGTAGCAAGGGTGTGTTTCTGGGGGCCGTGAGGGATGGGGAACGTGGGGGCAGAAAGGATGAGCTCTCAAAGGAGGAAGCAGTGGGCACTCGTCTGACCCCCCAGGGGCTGTCCTCCCGGGTCCAGGCCGTCTGAGGTAGTTTCCTGACTGAGGCTTTCCCACAGCAGGCCTCTGCTAAAAGGCTCTCATGAGGACAAGGGACAGCTGCAGGGGGACAGAGGTGCCCCAAAGCCAGCCTTCCCTCCTACCCCAGAAATAGCCTGAGCCCAGAGTGTGCGCCTAGGGAAGTGAAGCCAGGCTGGTGGGGGACCAGGACCACCATGGCCCCGGGGGCTCGTTCCAGGCACTTTTCCAAGGCCCCAGGGATCAGCACAAGGGCCAGAGGCAAGGAACGTGGGGCCAGTCAGAGTGAACTTTCTCACGGGACTGTCCAGCAGGCCTCACCAAGGCCGGGAGCTGGAGGTGTGCAAGCCAAGGGGCCGGGTGCAAGGGGACCTCAGCACAGGCTGTTC